CAACGTCCAGCCTGCGCACGTCGCTGGCAACCAGCATCCGACATGGCAACACGACACGTCGGAAATACCCGCCAGCGCCGCGCGACTCTGATATCTTCTGGCCACCCGCTGTGTGTAACTGCTTTGACAAGATTGGTGCGCCAAGGAAACGAATCCGCACTTCGGAAGATGCGATCTGAGCGATGACACCTTCTACAGCACTAACACGGAAAACTGCCTTGAGCATGAATGCACGTGCAAGCAGCAGTGACAAGCGACAGCAACCTCATGGAGCACCCCTCCAAAAAATGAAGCATAGCACCAACACAAAGAAGCCGTGTCGCCCTAATCAACTGTCGCCGCAAACTTGCTCTGGGCAAGCTCCGCTACTGAGACACTCATAATGCACATTTTTTGTCGGCAGCAATCGTGTGCGGCAGAAAGCCCTGGCAGCGCCAGCAACTTCAAGGACGCCAGGGAAAAAAATCCGTCTGCGCCGCACAGACCGGAAGGTCCAGGAGCTGTGGAATGCAGAGCCAGTCGGCGACGTTTCGGAAAGATCCGCCTGCGCCGCACAGACCGCCCGCCGTCCATCACAGCTTCAGCTTTCCAAAGAAGTCCACCAAGTCATCGTCAAGCGGGAAGCCATTAGCTCCATCTAGCGCCCATTCTTCTGCGCCCTTGCCGCAAGAGGTGCAGCCAACATCGAAGTCCGGCGAGTCAGCAAAGAAGCGCAAGCGTGTCAGGCAGCGATCCTCCGCTGCGTACAAGAACAAGTACTCCCTCATCTTCTTGGCCGTCTTTTGGCCGTGCTTCTTGAAGAACTTCTTGCAGTGTGGAGCGTGAAAGCAAGGTCCCACATCCACCGGAGGATGCGGCGCAGCCTTGGGCGCAGAAGTAGAGGATGCCGACTTGGAAGCAGGCTTTGCCGATGGAAAGCGACCAGTTTGCCGGTATCCCCATGGATCCTCTTCGCCAGCGGCACGCGGCTCTTCACGGCGGGAAGAGGCAGCGGACGACTGGTCTCCTTGACGAAAATCACGGAAGTCGTCCCAGGCTGCCAGGACAGCTCTCACTCGCTCCGGATCCACCTGCGGCGTGCAGCTGTTGGCCTGCTTGTCAGGATGGTTCTGGCGAAGCCACTGGAAGTACTTCTTCTTCACGTCTGCGAAAGGCACCGTGAAAGCATCCACGTTCTCAAAACCCAGCTCTGACAACAAAGAACCGAAAGGAGCCATGGCTGCAAATGATGCGATGTATCTTTTTTCTACAACTCGATAAATCAGGTCGGGAAGCCGTGTCGCCCTAATCAACTGTCGACGCAAACATTCTCTGGGCAAGCTCCGCTACTGAGACACTCATGACATCCAAGCTTCGGCTACTATTGCTCTTGTCAGCTGCCTATCACTCCAAAATCCAACTGCGCATGCTTATTGGACAAGCCAATTACAAAAGCCAACTGCCCAATCTTACTTCACAAGCCAATGACAACTGCCAACTGCCCAATCTCACTTCACAAGCCAAATGCACTCTCCCAAAACACAAGCCAAATTTTCGAGTGTTACTTCACTATCCTAAAGCGCAAGCTAACTTCTCGGGCGTTTCTTCGGCATCGGAAAGCGCAAGTATTTTTTTCACGCGTTACTTCACTATGCAAAACATTGCAAGCCGACTTTTCATTTTCTACCTTCTCTTCTCGATTCTGAGTTCTTTCTTCTTTTTCCGGCGGAGCTGGGGAGACGCTCTCCGCGCAATACTTTTGTACTTCAAACTTACGATTTTCACGACAGCTTCACACGGAACCACGGCGAGGGCAATCCGACACGCGCGATCCCCGCTGAGGGTGCGCCAAGGTCAAGACAGATTCGCACGGGACCACAGCGAGAGCGATCCGACACGCAGGAGCCCCGCAGAGGGCTCGCCGCGACCAAGACAAATTCGCACGGCGCCACAGCGAGAGCGCTTCGACACGCACGATCTCCGCAGAGGGGTCGCCAAGGTCAAGACAAATTCGCACGGCGCCACAGCGAGAGCGCTTCGACACGCAGGATCTCCGCAGAGGGTTCGCCAAGGTCAAGACAAATTCGCACGGCGCCACAGCGAGAGCGCTTCGACACGCAGGATCTCCGCAGAGGGTTCGCCTAGGTCAAGACAAATTCGCACGGCGCCACAGCGAGAGCGCTTCGACACGCACGATCTCCGCAGAGGGTTCGACTTGGTCAAGACAAATTCGCACGGCGCCACAGCGAGAGCGCTTCGACACGCACGATCTCCGCAGAGGGTTCGCCAAGGTCAAGACAAATTCGCACGGCGCCACAGCGAGAGCGCTTCGACACGCACGATCTCCGCAGAGGGTTCGCCAAGGTCAAGACAAATTCGCACGGCGCCACAGCGAGAGCGCTTCGACACGCACGATCTCCGCAGAGGGTTCGCCAAGGTCAAGACAAATTCGCACGGCGCCACAGCGAGAGCGCTTCGACACGCACGATCTCCGCAGAGGGTTCGCCAAGGTCAAGACAAATTCGCACGGCGCCACAGCGAGAGCGCTTCGACACGCACGATCTCCGCAGAGGGTTCGCCAAGGTCAAGACAAATTCGCACGGCGCCACAGCGAGAGCGCTTCGACACGCACGATCTCCGCAGAGGGTTCGCCAAGGTCAAGACAAATTCGCACGGCGCCACAGCGAGAGCGCTTCGACACGCACGATCTCCGCAGAGGGTTCGCCGGCTCAAGACAAATTCGCACGGCGCCACAGCGAGAGCGCTTCGACACGCACGATCTCCGCAGAGGGGTGCGTTTCGTAAGCTCCCGTCGGGCCTACCCCCGCCATAAAAAGAAGAAGAATTAAGAGTCGAGATGTGAAGGTAGAACAGAAAAGTTAGCTTGTGTTTTTAGGATAGTGAAGTAACACCCGACAAATTAGCTTGTGCTTTTAGTAGAATGAGATAACAGCCGAAAAGTTGACATGAGAAGTAGGCAGGTGAAGTAACTCTCGACAAGTTGGCATGAGAAGTTGGCAGGTGAAGTAACTCTCGACAAGTTGGCATGAGAAGTTGGCAGGTGAAGTAACTCTCGACAAGTTGGCATGAGAAGTTGACAGGTGAAGTAACTCTCGACAAGTTGGCATGAGAAGTTGGCAGGTGAAGTTGGCAGCCGCTTTTAGAAGAAGAACCCTTCGCAATGCTTCCGGGAAAAACACGGTGCTGCCTTACTCTGACTACCCTGTGTAGGAGCTGATTGAAAAGCACGGGTGCAACCCCAAGCAGACTACTTCCGTGGGCGGCACGCTGCTCCATGAGGTGGCTTTGCACGGGCACCATGCGCAGGCGTTGCGCATCGCTGAGCTCTTGGTCAGCCACGGCGTGCAGGACGGTCATTGGATGGTCATTGATAAGTGCGATTGGGGTGAACTGTTGAACGGATCCGGGTTACAGTATGCTTTGTAGAACTGTTGTTGGGCACATCCTAGCAGTACTTGGCTATTTCTCAATTTTGAACGTAGGCCTGGGATTGGCTATTTCTCAATTTTGAACGTAGGCCTGGGAAATGTTCTCATTGCCCCTGAAGGCGAAGCAGGAGGACAAGAGCCACCGCACAGCCATGTTTCCAGCAGCAAAGGCTGGGAACATTCAGCTCTGCGAATTCCTGCTAGGGCAGGGATGCAAAGTAGAGCATTGTGATGCCGGGCACCAAACAACGCTGTTCTATTCCTCGCGCCATGGGCACGTGGAGTGCACAGAGCTGTTTTTGACCCGGGGCGCAGATGTGAATGCCGCCGACAGCAATGGCTATACACCAATTTTTTGGGCTGCTCATGATGGCAGGGTCAACATCATGAAGTTCCTGGTTGAGAAGGGAGCGGACCCCAAGATCCTGGCCAAGCAGCTTGTCCGCAGAGCAGAGTATTCTTGTTGCCAGCAAATTGTTTTCAGGGGACTTCTTTTTTGCGAAGGCTCAGCGTGTTGTTGATTTTGACCGGCCGGCCCAAGCCAGGAATGGCAAGAGCCTGCTCTTCTCAGCGACTGGCGGGGCAGCTGCCTATGCTTTGGAGTTGGGATGCGACCCACAGCAGCAGGACCAACTTGGACAGACACCAATCTTTCGGGCGGTCAAGGAGCGCTTGCTGTGTGGGCTGGTTTGCCACAATCAAACACCTGGGTAAGTGATGGGGGACGGCCCCAGCCAGACATAGCAGCCGCCCTTTGGATTCTGTACAATGGTTTTGGGTAGACCATTTCAGTACCTGGTTTTGCTTGCCTCTCAGGCATTGATCAACTGTTCGCCAAGCCAAGCAAGCAAGTACAACTCCGGAGGAGAATGATCCGCAGAAAGTCAAGCTGCTCGCTGAGAGTGGTGCAGATGTGGATGCGCAAGACAAAATCGGGCAAACATGCCTGTTTTATGCTGCCAACCTCGGCCTCAAGGATACGGGGTGTTCACGTGTGCCGCAACGGATTCGTTCAGCCAATCCTTTTGTGGGGTTTTAGCCTCGGGAGTTGAATTTTGTTTCGGAGGCTGTGAACAAGCAGCAATGGTCGATTGATTTTGCTTCGCAGCGCTCAGAACCGCGAGGAGATGGTGACGCTGCTCTGTGCGCATTTGAAAGCGAACACGCTGCACTTGGACGTGAAGGGCTTCTCTGCCAAGGAGTATGCCAAGAAGCACAGCAAGGCGCTCCTTTTCTCCCCCTTAACTTTGTTTCTCCTGAAAACCCAGTAGGAAGGGGTGTCCCATTTCGGACGGGATTTGCTTTGTGGGCGGGCACCGCCTAGTCCACCAGGTTGATTAAATCCCTCGACGTTAAACCGTGCCACGAAGCATAACCACTTGGGGGGATGCAAGGCGGCCAGCCTCGCGGCATGCACCAAGATCCTGCAGGGCCATGAGACCAAGCAGCGTCTTGCGGCTCAGAAGGAGCGGTTTGGTTGAGAGCAGAGAGTTGTCGGCGTGTCAGGTGTCAGGGTGTCAGCGCGCATTTTCTGCTGCTTGCCGAGCAGCTTTTGAGGGGGTGGCAAAGAATGTCTCGCCAAAGGCGTACCAAAGTTGAGGGTGCCATCAACGCTTGCTTTCCTTGGCTTTTGACTCTGCCACCTCATGCATGTCCAAGCCAGCACATCCCAGTGCAGCATTTGTTTAGAACGCAACCAAAGTTCTGTTCATTCCTTCGGGGCCTGGAAGCATCAGCAACCCAGCCAGGAGCAGAAGCGCGCGGCCCAGGAGCGCGCCCGGAAGGCGGCGGAGGAGAGGGGGGGCCCCAGCCCGGCACCGGCTTCCTCCAGCCGGAAGCGGCCACATGAGGAGGAGGAGGACTGGGGCGAACTGCAGCCCAGTTTCGTTTTGTTTGCTTTCTTGCGTTGCCTTCTTTCTTTGTGCTTGGTGTATGACCATGTGTGTGTCGTACTTTCCTGCTTGCTTTGCCTGCCTGCCTGCCTGCTTGCTTGCTTGCTTGCTTGCTTGCTTGCTTGCCCGCTTTGCCTTGCCTGGCCAGAATTTGCTTCTGCTGATTTGCTAGCTAGCTTTGTGTCCTTTGCTCGCATTGCTTGGTTTCTAGGGGGAAGAGTTGGGGCCGGTTTGCAGGGGTTTTGGACATGTTTGGGACAAACTATACGCATTACATTACATTATGGTACAGTATATTACACTGCATTGCATTGCATTGCATTACATGACATTACGTTCCAGCACAGTGCAGCGCAGTACATTACGTTACACACACACACACGCACAGCACCTGGCGTTACAGAATACATACATACATACATACACGCATGCGTACGCACATGCACACACAACATTGCATTGCACTACATTAAACTATATTACATTACATTACATCACATTACATTTCATTGCGTGGCATTACATTACATTACATCACATTACGTTACATTACATTACGTTACGTTACGTTACGTTACGTTACGTTGCGTTACGTTACATTACATTACATTACATACACACACACACATGCATACATACTTACATTACATACATACATTACCTACACTACCTACACTACATACATACATACATTGACATACATACATACATACATACATACATACATACATACATACATACATACATACATACATACATACATACATACATACATACATAAGTACATACGCACGTACATACATACATAACATGCATGAATTACATACCACAGACAACACTGCAAAGATACACATACATGGGACCTACGAGGTGTATTCCTGGGGCACCCCATTTACAACTCAAATTGTGGTAGCGGAGCAGGTTCTCCGATTCGAGTGAAGAGGATTATCGTGGAATAGAACTACCCGCATCGGCTTTCTTAGGAAGCCGTCATGCCGGCGTGAGTTCCCATGAAGAGACAAGTAATCTTTCGAGGAATACAAATTTGCCTCCATCGTATGAATGTTCTGTTATGTATGTATGTGTGTATGTATGGTATGGTGTGGTATGGTATGGTATGGTGTGGGTGGTCTGGTGTGGTACGGTACGGTATGGTATGTTTATGCGTGTGTGTGTGTGTGTGGTGTGAATTCCCGATCTTCGTGCGCATTCTAGTCTGGCTCCAAACCTGGTCGTGTTTCATGTGAAGCGAGCTCAATCACGGGGCTGTACCACGTTGCTTAAGTGTCTCAAGGGCCGAAAGACAGCTCCGAGTGTGCTAGAGGATGAACCTGAGGGTCGGTGGGCTAGCCGCGCCGCTGTTGAAAACTGCCGTGCGAAAAGCTGGGGGCACCAACAGAACCTTTACTGGCCTTACAGCTGCATCCCTTCTCTGGACGAGCTTTTGGGTTACACCTTGTTGGCTCTCATCCAAGTATTGCCCAACAGAGAGAGAGAGAGAGAGAGGCTACACATGCTTCCAGGGCAATATTTTTGTGTTTGATTTGATACGGTTTTAGGTAAAATAGTTTGTGCTGTTTGCTTGAGACGGTGACAATGATGTTTACAAACCTTCTGCAAAGTGTTGGCGGAACTGGTTCGGGCATCCACGTGTTTCACAAAGGTTTGTTGTTTGGAACCGAATCGTTTGTGACGCTCAAACGCAATTCTTGCTATCTGGGATTTATGCTGGTACAACGGGATGGCTTTAAAGGGAAATGGCAAAATCCAACTGTGGGTTCCCCTCTTTCCCGACCACAGGGATCTAGTCACGTCAGAGGACGTGGAGCGGAAGAAGTACCAGCTGGTGTGCTTCGAAGGGGGCGAGGAGGTCCCCTGGAACTCGCACAAGTACAAAGAGCACTTCAGAGAGCTCGCGCTGAGATGTCCTTGGGTGGAGCCACAGCGATGAGTTGCAGTGAGAGAGCCAGCCAATCGGCCAACAGGGCAGGTGTTGCACAGAAAACACCGCATCTACATAGTAGATGAATGTGTGCACTACAGCCGAAGAAGCGGGGTGGTGCAGTCAAAAGGACCCGCGAGCCCCCATGTTGAGCGCGTGCTGGTGTCCGTTGCAGTTGCAGCTCGGACCGGGACCCTTCTTTCTTGCATCTGACGTACGCACGCCACACCGCACACGCAGGCTGCTGCATGTCAACTGAAAGTGGCTGGTGGTGCAGTGCGGGGCTTGGAGTGGCTCGAGGATTCATACCCCTTGTTCCCGTGTTAAAACAAGACAACCAATTTGTCCGAAACAAGTATGTGTTTACTCACTGTGTATCTATACGCACAAAATATGTCTATAGGGCAGAATTAAATGGGGTCTTTGTTGTTTCTTTGGGCCAAAATGCAGTACTTTGATTCATTTCGCGTGTAACCCCGGTTGGTGTCATTTTCCAGGAGTGCGATTGACTTTGAAAACTGATTATTTGGAGCTAACAAGGATCAGCCAGATCAAGCACACAACTTTCCAGATTATAGCTCAACATGGTTTGGGCGGAGGGCGACTTGACGCGGGCTGAAGACCACAACAGTGCTTTGCTGCGGTGCTTCACCACGAGGCAAACACACGTGAGCTCGCGCCGGGGACGGAGAGCGTGTTCGCAGGCTGATTGGGCTTCAGTGCAGTTGTTTATTGTCCGGGATTTGGCTTTTGCGAGACATCATTTCCGGGACTTAGAGAACATGCTCGGACGTTTCAGAGTAAAAAGTAGGCCAACCCGAATCGAAGGGCGGAGAATTGCAGGTTCGGGGATTGCTCGGTTTGGTTCATGCCAGCACCGGAGTGTGCGCATTGCCTCAAAAAAAGCGAACAGCTGAATGTGTCGTCCGTGAGTTGCACTGAGTCAGAAGCGTGCGCTTGTTGAGCCCCTGGCCGTTTAGGGAGTTCTTTGATGGTTTGTTGCCAGAAAATTCTGGTTGTTGAGCACTCTTGCCGCCCTACATGCCAAAGGCCGGCGCGGTCTCCACATCTTCCAGCAAGGCTGCCGCTTGGGGCGTTCCGTGGTTGGGTACTGGAGGCATAGTGCCATGCTTCCAATTGTTTGGTGTCATGGTTGTTTCTTGCAAAACCAAGCACCTTTTCCGAGTGGTCGCACATCGGTGCTGTTGAGGGATGGCCCTCCTCTTGGGTCCCAGATTCGCGTGCCAGCGAGAAGATCTCTCAAAAGCGACCAACCCTCAGCCCGATTCTTTGAGTGGATTTTGGCAGATCTCGACTCCAGGAAAGCACATCCTTGCAAGGAGACTCCACACTGAGTATTGGTGCTTCTGAAGTTTAGTGGCCCGTCTTTCGACCTTCCGGCCCATTGGGAAACCATCCAGAATCTGAGTGTTTCCTGAAATGGGTTGGACCCTCCAAAAACTTCCCTTTTGAAGGAGCTCTGCCATGCTGGTGGGCCACCCTTTGTCGATGCTGTTTGGCTTTTGCTCCTGCAACAAGCAGCGACCGCGCACGCATGCTTCATGTTGGCATTGCCCTGTTCTGTTCTTGCTTCACGCTTGCTTTGCTTTGGCCTTGTGCTTGGCCTTGTCTTGTGGGAAATGAGTCAAACCTAGGAACTCCGGAGGTTTCATTCGAGCCTTGCGCAACAGCGCTCACCTTTGGGACGCTTTACAGCATGGTTTTATTCAAGGGACAGTAAGCAGATTAGCGGCCTCTTGGAAACAGCTGGCGCGGGTCTTTCTTCCAGTGGAACATTGGCACCTAAGCAATACAATCCGTCCTGTGCACTGGTGGATGGAGTGTAACGTTCCATGTCAACTGCAGCGACACCACCCACCTATGTGCCAAAACTAGCTGGACCTCGCACGAAAAAGCCGAAGTATCTTGCACACACATATGAAACAAGCAGCGTGCGATTGCAGGCACCGGCGCTTATTAAGCGGCCCACCGAGCGGGCGGAAGGAGTCGGCCCCCCAAAAGCATATTTCCCCAAAAATCGCTTGATTCTCCCCTTGACCATGGCAATCAAGCGCCCAGGTCACCTATCACGGTTCAAATATTCCCAAGGGACTTCTAAGCCGAAGGCCAACCCAGACACATGCACAAGGAGTAACAGAGGCACTAAACCCATTCCGAAATACACTGGAATTACAGCTGCAGTAATCGCAGGGCAACGAAATGAGATATTGCTAGGCAAACAAGCAGTTGTGGAAGGTGCGCTGGGGAAAGCAAACAAGTAAAATATCGGAAGAAAAACATTTCTACTTTTGGCGCGTGTATGTTTTACTTTTGATGGGTTCAAACGTTTTTACTGTTACTGAGGAAAGGAAAAGAAGGGTAAACTTCCAGAAGTAACAAGGGGCCAATCAAAAGTGCTAAAAATTGGAAACACTGAACATTTCCTAGTGTTTGGCTATTTTGCCGAATCATGCAGGTAATTCTGTAGTATGTCACTTCATTTTTCCAGGAAGAACCAAAAGGAACAAACCTAGGTTTTGGAAGAGGGGGGGGGGATAAATATTCACTTATGGGATATGAATGCAGTAGTATTATTGTCATTATCATTTATTGTTATCATCATCATCATCATCAGCCGCATCATCATCATCATCATCATCATCATCATCATCATCATCATCATCATCATCATCATCATCATCATCGTCATCATCGTCATCATCATCATCATCATCATCATCATCATCATCATCATCATCATCATCATCATCATCATCATCATCAATCTTGTACGTACGTATTATGACAACATATTTGGATTGTATTATGAGATAGAAAAAGCAGCCACCCTTCCCTGTCGCGCTTTTGGGCGGGGGGGGGGGGTGGTGCAGATTTTCCAGACTTCTCAAGACTTTTAAATTTTCCTTCCTTCCTTCTTTCCTTCCTCTTTCTGCATGTTACGGTCTCCTTCCTTTCCTCCTTTCCTGCTCGAAGAAACGTGCGCTGCCAGGAAGTGCGACGCCTTCAGCTCAGGAGCTGGTGTCGGGCTGGCGGTGAACAAAGCAAATCGCCCAGCCAAGAGCTCTGGACTCAATGCCTTCGGCAGTTGGCAGCTGAAAACCTGGCTGGCTGGCTGTTCAAGGCTTGCGGTTTTCCACTTCAGAAGTGGGGTTCCTGTGCAAATGTTTCTTACAAGGATGCCACGTGGACACCGAACATCCGCTTGTGCCCACTTGGTCTTCAGTTTTAGGCATTGCGCGTGTGTTGGCATTGCTTACCGTGGGTCGACTTCAGATTTGGATGTGTGAGCGGAATTTTTGCACTCAGATATTTGCCAGAATCAGGGCAAATCAAGGACACCCTGCCCCTTACGTTGTTCATCGCATGCTCCCCGACAAAAAGGATCCACTGCCTCGCGATTAAATTTAAATCTCAATTTTTTAAAATTCCACAAAACACATCGACGAATAATGTAACTTAATTTGTACAGCCTTTGCTCGCTGCAAGGTTCAAGCACAGAAGTCGCCAAGATGGGTCAGGGTGGTCAAGCAAGCATCCAGCCCTCTTTGCCGTTCATGGCTGTAGGTGATGTACGCCCAATGACAAGATTTGTGTCGTTGGGACCAGCTATTGTACAGCGGTTTTGTTATGTTTAGTGGAGCAAACAATCGTCATCAACAGCGCGGACCCCCCTCACATCATCATCAGATACCACGGATACATTCACCAACTCCCCTGCTGCTTTGAGACGACTGCTTATTTGAAATACCAGTAGGACTTCGCCGCTGGACGCATGTTCGGCCTGGCTGTTTGACCCAGCGGCCCAGATGCTGAGCAAAAGTGTTGGGAGCTGAGAGGGCAGGTTCTATGGCCAGCTGATTTCTAGGCTAGTCGGCTAGCTGGCTGTCTGGCTTTCATGTCTGATAGAAAAGGAAATGTGAGCGAGTAGCAAGGTTCCAGTAGGTGGGGGCAGGGTTCAAGGTTTGGACGACCCCAAAACTGTGATGTTTGGACCCTCCAGATTAAGCGCCCTTCGGTCCTTGTCCTTCCACTTCTGTCCCCTTCCCAACCAAATGAACTGGAAACAGGAACCTGCAGAACCTCTTCGGGTTGGCCCTTCCTGGGCAATAGAACTTTAGATGGCAATACCAGTTTTGTTGAGCCCAAAAGGGCTGTTGTTATTTTTGTATTTTTGTGCTTAGCACCACCGGCTCGGGCAAGGCACGGGTTGGTTGGTTGGCCGGTCGGTCGGATGGCTGGGGCGGGGGGGTGCTGCAGCGCCAAAAATCGATTTCTAGGAGTGTTTTAGTTCTTAAAATATATTTTGATGCCTGACCCATTTTGAAATCCTTTTCATTCTCGTCATCTGCCGTGCCTTCCGTCTTTGAGGTTTTTTTGCGCTGACGGTCCCGGTTCCAGAGCCGGCCTGCAACGGGGGTCCCCTTTGTGAGCTTGAACACCTTACCATTTTAAACAAGCTTTGGTAAAAATAAAAATGCATTCTGATTGGTGGCTCAGTACTGGTGGGTTTTGGCACATGCTGAGCAAAAGGGCATCCCCTTTTCTGGCAGGTTTTTGGGCTTGGGGGCTGAAGGGAATCTTTAATTGGCAGTTTGTTTTTGTTTGGGGCATTCAAACCTTGTCGGCCCGGAGGCGATGCTTTTTTTTGGCTACTGGCTCACAGCTTAGCAAGGGCTCCAAGACTGGTTGGTTGGTTGGCAGAGTGGCATGACAGGGGTGGGTCAACATCCCTAGCATCACCGGGCTCAGTCTCCCTCCCCGGCGATCCGTTTCCAGACAGGCCTGAGCCCCATGCTGCGTTTTTGCTGGTTTGCGCCTGGTTTTGGTGCGTTGCCCCAAACCAGCAAACCAGCAAAATACAAGTAACACCCCCCTTCAACAGTAAGCGCTGCTGAAACCACCCCAACACCTGGCACAAGCCAAAGCAACCCCCCAAGTTTACCCAAGTTCAACCAAAATATAAAGATATAAAGCCAAACAAAAGCTAATGCCAAGCGGTGGTCAAGCCCCAGCGTGCCAGGTGTTGGGGTGGTTTCAGCAGCGCTTACTGTTGAAGGGGGGTGTTACTTGTATTTTGCTGGTTTGCTGGTTTGGGGCAACGCACCAAAACCAGGCGCAAACCAGCAAAAACGCAGCATGGGGCTCAGGCCTGTCTGGAAACGGATCGCCGGGGAGGGAGACTGAGCCCGGTGATGCTAGGGATGTTGCCATCCAAAGGTCTTCCCTGGGTCAAAGTCACGGTGCCTTAATGTCCTAGCAGCCTTAGCAGTTTAAGCAGGCCCTGGCCACAAAGACTCGCTGTGAGGCGAGGATCTTTCGGCAGGGGGGGACACTGAGGTGGCGTTCGTCGCCGGCGGGCCCAGCCGGAAGTCCGCGGGCCTTCCAAGAGAAGAGGACTTTGGGGATCCCTTCCAGTAATGGGCGTTTCTCAAATAGGGGTGCCCTTTTGGCATGGTTTTTAAAGAGGAATCCAAAAGGAGCCCACCTGAAGGGGTCTCTAATTTTGAGTAACACCCATATGCTGTAGTGTACTCGAGTTCGTTTGTGATGGGCTCTATACATACTCGGAAGAGTTCATTTGCTGCTCACCAAAAAATCAAAACAGAGGGAGGAACGGTAGATGGGAGGTACACCCGTCTGATACGTCCTCCAGGCAGCTCATGAGCACCGATATGAGAAGTAAAGTTGTGTGATGCATTTGTGCACGGCTTTCCACTGCTGTGACCACCACCGAGACCTTGGTCTAGCCTGCACACCAAGTTTTGCAATTGGAATACAACTGCTCGAGTAACCGTAACTCTTCAACTGAGAAGGGTCGCTATGAGTTGGAGTCCAGTGCGCAGAAGAATCCTCAGTGAGGCTTTCACCTAGCGCTCTAGTTGAAACGCCACTTGAGTTCCGTTAGGGTCTGCTTTCTCGAGTCCAAAGGGCAAAGCATTTGCCCGCGGTGGCTTCCCAGCAATGGGGCAGTGGTGACCCTTGCGCAAGCATCGAGGGGCTTTTGTGAGGTTTTGACCGCGGCTGCACAGCTCTCAGCCGATGAGGACGACCCCTGACAACATGCTTCGCAGACAAATCTTCCTCCTACAAACTACAACCCCGCCCAATTTTCCTGTTCCCTTTTGCGGAACAGAGCATGTTGTCCGTGCACAGACTGACGCCTGTCTTCGGACCTCTGATCCACTAGCGTTGTCTTAATGTTGGTCATTGGTTCCATAGCCGTGGGATGCTGGTGCTCTGATGAACTCAAAAGCAGCAGGAGCAGATCATTAGCCTCAGAGAAGTGACCAGCATTGGCTGATCCCAGACACCGGCAGTTTGCTCCCAGGAATTGACCAACGCTTTTCAAGTTCCTTTCAGCAATGGCCTCCATGTTTTGCGCAGCAGTTTCCCGGCTTCAGGTACACGGTTGCTTACCATGCCGGTCCCCTCCGAGATGCAAGTGAGCTAAGAGCCAGAGGGTCGGCAGATGATTAATGCCTTGCGAGTGGGAGAATGAGCTTATTTGCAATGCGCTGCTTATGAAATTTTGGTGCGCCTCCACCATCGCCGCTGCAGGAGCTCTTGGCAAGGGAGTCTGGAGGCCAAGTGGCCTGGCGCTGGCAAAGGACTTGTCATGAAAAATCCAACACTGCCCACTCTGCCGGCCGCGCGCCGGCACGCGCTATATCTATCTAGAAAAGCGAATCATGGAGCTGTCAAGCGGGATCTTGAATCTTTGCAGCGAGCGGTGCTAGGGCTAGGCCATGGAAGAGCTTCCCAGTAAAGAAAAAGTGCCCCACCGCCACGTGGTCTGGTTTGCTAAGGATTGTCCAGCTCTTTGAAGGTGGCAACTCAAGCTGCCCCAAGCTGAGATTTTCTCCTGTAACTTGAGAAGAGACGCCTTGATTTCTGTGCATGGCCGGCCTTTTGGCTGCGACGCTCTGAAGCTTAAACTCGGCATATGCGAGTTCGTGGGGGCACAGACTGCAGCAGCACACTGCAATTATGAGTCAAGCTCCCAGGGCTCCATGACTCGAACAAACTATTCGAAAGACATATTTGCAGCACGGTGGTTTATTTTGTTTGACGTGTCAAAGTGTTTCTTTTGGATCTCTTTGAGCCAACCGCAGCGAGGCCGCAGCAGCTTCAGCTGCTGCAACGGCTCGTCGGCCACGCGCCGTGCCCAGGGAAGGGACGGATCCTGGATATTGTATCCAGGTGATTGGGGACGTTGAGCACATCAGGCTCTTAGATCCTGCAAGATTTCGGGGCAATAATGTTTCAATTGGCGCCCGTGACTCTCCTGCTCCCTCTCCGTTGCCCTCTCTCTCTCTCTCTCTCTCACTCCGCTTGAAAAGCGGAGTTGTTTCCAGAGAACTTGTGCCTGGCGCTGAGGGTGAGTGCGGAGCTCTGGGATCACGTCAAGGCCAGGAGACAGCCACCGGTGCTAAGCTGAAGGGCAGGCCACAAAACTTGGAAACCATTTCGCTCGAATCTTGGATGAGGTCCCGGCCGTTCGCCTGGAAAAATGGCCTCGAACAAATTGCCGCGGTCAAAATGCAGGCTTTTGCTCACAACTACCACGTCCGCGAGCCCGGGTGCCAAGCTCGTGCATCCTTATGCTAAAGGATCCACCATCACAGACAAAATAACACGGAATCCTTGTAGGCTAGTCCAAAATGGCAATGGCGTGCCAGTCAATGAACAAAGGGCGCAAGTCCTGTACTCGCTATTTGCTCCTGGGTGGGGGACATTGCAGCCATCGGCAACTGCACACCGAGTACAGTGCTCTTTAAACACCGCGCACACGCCGAGTAAACCCAAGTGTGCCAAGTGGCAGCCTCCTATTTGCTGGCTGCTTGCCTTTTTGGCCGCTGAACTAGTGTCCCGCTGACCGCCTGCAATCTACAGATGCTTCATGCTCGATGTCATGAGGAATCGAGACCCCTGTGGCTGCATGCTACGTAGAGATGTTTGATCGTTCTACCATTTTCGTTCATGATTTCGTACCCTGCCGCGTGGCCAGATTTGATGCTCACCGTTTCTACCATTTTGGTCCTCGAACTCTGTGCTGTGAGCGCCTGCCATGTGGATTGAATTGACCCCTGCTTCCTTGGCCGCTTGGCCCACAGAAGTTGTGCTCTGCTGACCAAAGCTGAATGCTTACTACTGCTAGCTTGATGCTTACTACTACTACTACTACTACTACTACTACGACTACTACTACTACTACTACTACTACTACTACTACTACTACTACTACTACTACTACTACTACTACTACTACTACTACTACTACTACTACTACTTTGCCCCAGATGTACTCTGGCACACACTCGGATGAGGTTGTGATTCATGCCGGCAAATGGGTATACAGAGATTTCTGCTCTCAAGCCGTTGAAATCTTTCATTGCATCATTTTCATGTACTTGATTGTGCAACGGTGAGCATTCGTATCGAGCCAGTATGGTCCCTTTCAATTTGTGCGTAAATGTGTGCGTATCCTCATCGTGTGCTGCCAGGGGCCTGTAACGTTCATCCTGTCGCATTGCGAGTGCCAAATGTCAGCCTCGTCCATTGAATGACTTGAAGCCACTTGGACACAAACAGCAAGGTGCTGAGAGCATTGGAAATTGAGCTACTCGACTTGTGGCTAAGCCTCTCAGGCAAAAAAGGGGGAAAAGGCGATAAACCATAGGGTGTACACTGAGTGCCGATCTCAAGATGTTCAGGCTTTTGGACTCCACGCCTCGCATGCACGTGCCCCAGTGCCATGGCACCAGTGCACAGAGAAGTTGGGCTGGTGCTCCTTGTAAACTAGAAGAGTTTGGCCACCGCGGCCGAGCTGGCTGAGCTTGACTTGGGAAAGAGACATGTTGACTTTGATTCCGAGCGGATGCACTTGAACTCAGCGCACTCCACTCTCTGAGGTTGGAGCGCCACTACACTTTCTACAACCTTTGGGACCGCATGAAGCAAGCTGGATCCATGCAGGCTGTGTGCGAGAGCTAACGTGGCTGCACGCCCAAGGCACCATGGAATAAACAGTGTGAACGTGCATCAGCGCCACTTAGTTGATGGTGGAAGTTTGGTTGTTTGCTCACCTTGACGCAAAAGTTCTTCAGCGTTCTACCGCGGTTTGCACTTACTCATAAGTATGTTGAGAAAGGCTGCTGGGTCAGGTCTTTGCTGCAGACTGCTATTATGGTGTCGTCTCCATGCTCCTGAATGCGCTGTCGGGGCTTGAGGAATGATTATATATTTTAGAGAGAGTGAGAGAGAGCGAGAGAGATAGAAAAAGAGAGAGAGAGAGAGTTGGCATTCAGAGCACCTGAAGATCAGCACTTTTATTCTATCTCAACTTACTTTTGGGAGTGAGCAATCAACCTTCGACTGCCAGCGCATGGGTGAACGGGCAGAGGTTGGACATCTACACCCGTCCAATTCAGCATGGGCTGCTTGTCCCTACCTGAGGCCAGCCATAGAGTTCGAGGATGGGCTTCACGTTGCACAGGAGGCTGGGGCTTTGCTGTGTTCCAAGGACCTACAGAGAGTGCCGATCTGGGTCACTGTTGTGAGGGGCCCTTCTCAGTGGTTGGTTTCGCTGCAGAGCATTCCAAAGGAGACCACTGATTTGCGCAATACAAACAAATGCCACTTTGTGTCTCTATGCTCTTGTTTGGAGTTTGCACATGCAAGTGACCGACGCGCATGTTTTGAATCCAGAAGCATCCCAGGAATTTTGTAGAGGGTATCCTTTTGGGGTGGTTTTAAAGGGAAACCAACAGGAAAACCCAAATTGTTGACACATCTTGGTAAACTACACATTTTTTGGAGGGAACCACCCATTTTTGCACCACCCATTTTTCGAGGAAACCACCCATTTTTCGAGGAAACCACCCATTTTTCGAGGAAACCACCCATTTTTCGAGGAAACCACCCATTTGTGGGGTCCAATTCTCTGTTTTGGTTTGTGAGACTTCGGGCCAGGTGTTCTTGACTGCAGCTGAGATGCTGGAGCGGAACAATGATACGGAAGGCCGGAATCGCATGTCGAAGAGAAGGGACCCCCCAAAAAGGTCGGCTTCCTTTTGATTCCCCTACAAAACCAGGAAGAGAGATGCAGATTGGGAACTGATTCCTTCTCGGCGGGTTTGGCATTGTGGTAGCCTCTTGTCTTGTCCTTCCATACAAGGAGATCACTTGACATTTGTTTGTCGGGATTGCATGGAGAGAGTATTTGGCTCGAACACCATGGGAGGTTTGCAACATGGGTGTGAAATTGTGGGCTTAATACCCTTGAAGAATCTGCCTTTTGACCTTGGGATTTGCTGGATGTTTGTTGCTATCTTCCTGGGAGCAGTCCTGGTATGACGGAAAGAGCAACCCATCTTCATATGTGGCCATCATCTAGGTGGACATGAATCCCCACCAACCACTTTTGAGGTGCTTCCCTATTAGACTGAGCCTGGTTTCACGTTTGCCCGCTGGGAAGGCCCCCACCAAAGTTGTTGCCTACTGTGAGGTTAGTGGCATCCCCTCATTTCCCGAGTTTCTGGACGTAGTGTTTTGTTAAGGGTACCCTTGTTGAGGTTGGCTTCAAGGGAAACCAAAAGGACTTTATTTTATGGGTGTCCCCCTATTTTGAAGCAACCCCTTTTCAGTGAACGAAAGGTAAAGACTTCTTGGCCACTTGTTCAGGAGTGAGTCAAATTTGAGGTGCGAACTGGACGATTCCACGAGAGCCGCTCCAACTCCAGTCGCTGGGCTTTGACCTGCGGTCGCTTGCAGTGGCAATCCCATTTGGACACACTGTCTGCTTTTGCGACATCAGCTTTGAACTGCGCCTGTTGTTGTAACGCACATCGAACAGCCCTTGTGAAATGTCGACACAGTGTGTCTTCCCACTGAGCCTTGCAAATTGCCGTTTAGACCGAGGCCGCCAAGGACCCCCTACTTTGTCGCTCATGCAATCATGGCCACAGATTTTCCTCTTTTCCTCATAGCGAGGTCCGTCAGGGAGAGGCGACGTGGAACCGAATACAGCAACGTTTGACGTAACAAGCTCATGAAGTATCAACACACTGCGAAGACAGTAAGACTCAAGACAGTTTGGTGTGCTGGGATTATGGGATTCAGGAAAGAACTTCACAAGGAAGAGTCAACAAGTGACAAGGTGGGTTCCCAAAGAGGGGAGAGGCGAAGGGCAGGGAAGCACGAAAACAAGAAAACAGGGAAACATAAAACAAGAACGCAAGAAGGCAAGGAAACAAGGAAGGCAATGCTCCATGAAACAAAAACTTCCAACAGCATCGCTGAGTGCAGGGCACCGTACATGAAACTGAACACCTGGCATCCTCGGCATCAGCAGCATATCTCAGACCTGCTGCTCGCGTTGCTTCGCGTGAAGCAATGAACGTTTTCGATGTTTGTTCCATGTGCCTTCGGCTCAGCCTTTCCCGCTAGGTTGAAGGGAATTGGGACCTGCGGATCGGCTACATCAGGGGCCTTCCATTTGAGTAGCAGACGGCCCGGTGATTCAACCGGTGCTCAGGATGCCTCTGTTTCTTGGGCTGCTTCCCAACAACTGTGCAGGCTGGGCGTGTCTGATTGAGGTGCAAGCCTCTTCAATTTGGTCGATGGGAAGGAATGAGCCCTTGGCCACATGGCGGTCCCATGGCCGACCCACCGGTCGAGAGCGCAGGTTCGGCACTTCGCATCTACGTGTACGACACAAAGCGCGGCATCCTATTGTAGCGGTTGGAGATTTGTCGTGTTGTTTGGGATATGGGTGGTGGAGTTTGTTTGTCGCATCCCCGTGCAAGTTAAATGACTGAACTGCCTCCTCAATGAGGCAATGGTGATCTAGAATCTAGAAAACCGTCAAAAGGTTTCCCATTGAGGATAGTATGGCTCCTGCAAAGGTCAGGCACCCAGGTAGAATTTGGCAGCATCATTATGAATTAATCAACCTTGGAGACATGACATTTGCGGCGACACTCATTTTATCGACAAGTTCTGGCAAGCTGCTTTGTATTTTTGCAATTTGCCTGGGCACAATGCCAGCTCTATCGATGAATTCGATGTGAAATGTGGAGCTGGAGATAGCTGTGTATATAGATGTATATCATATCATATTGACCCCCTGAACTAGGGTGCACAAGTTCGAGCCTAAGCTGCAAAGGAAGTTTTCAGCTGGATCAGTCTTCTGCTCCGCTGGCCAGCGCGGGCCCCAGTTGTGGAAGCGGATGTGGCTGGCAATTATTTTTGCCAGTATCTGCCTGTGCCTTAACACGTTTTTCCCAGCGTCTCTGGTACTCTTCGATTTGGCATCAGCGCTATCTTTTGTTGATGGTCTCGGTACCTCCTTGGCGTTTTTCGCCTTCTGCCGAACCCCGCTGCGGGCACCATTTTCTGCACCCAGGTGGGGCGTGGAGGTTCTGCTGCACCGCTACTTTGCCGCCTCCAGCTGCCGCACGCTGGATCCCAACCAGGCGAGATGTGGCCGAGCGAATGGGATGAAAAGGGGGGGTATCAGAAGGAAAAGCACGGAACACGAATCCTGAAGTTTGGACACAGCCAGAGGCCGAAGGTCCCAAAGGTATGGGCGGTATGGCTTCGCCGTATGGCTTCGCCGTATGGCTTCATGTTACTTCTGACATGCTGAGCTGCGCCTCTCCAGGCGGACCTCTTTCTAGTGCCAGATTACAGAGCTTGCCACCTTCATCTGGCCCGGGGACCTGGCACCGAAGATGACTTGTGGAACATTTGGACCCTGGTTCCCCTAGGGAAACCAAAAGGAGCGTGGTTAAAAAGCTCTGTTTGGAACATGCAAGAAGGGGGTAGCCCCAACCTGGTACTTGGAGACAGCATACATTGCGGAATCCATCCAGAGGATTCAAGCTGCAAAGATTCGCGTCATTAGATTGTTGCATTGCACTGTGTTGCGAAGGGACAAATTCACAGGGGCCAACTGTGCCGAGAGTGCAGGTGCTGAGAACAGAGCGAGACTTACTTAGTCTGCTCTTGCACAGTTGGACTCAAGCCGCCCCTCGGATCTCACCGACCGTCCAGCTTGCCATGCTGCCTCACCTTTTTCTTGCCGGCCTGGCGCTCTCGCACGCCTCGGCTCCTCAATGCCCGTTCCAGTGTGTGCCAGGCCTGGAAAAGATGGGGGTCGGAGTTGACCTGGCGTTTTTCACCCCCAAGGTGCAGCAGCAGGTGACACCTCGCAAGATGCTGAAGCAGCGAGTGGTCAACATGACGAACGCAAATGGCCACATTTGGACAAACCCTTTTGTGAATCAGACATATGGTGTGTGGGATCAGGTGTCCGAGCTATTTGTGAACAGCCGTTCAACGCGGGATGCTTTCAAGTTCACATTTGAGAACGATTTCAGCTTTGAGGAGCAGTTCTCGGAGAGCGTAGACGGTGACGCGCTCTTTGGACTGATATCCGCATCAGAAGAGATGTCCGAGATGTTCAGCATGGTGACCAAGGTTGGTGCTACAATGGTTGTCCGCTCGGGAGAAGTGGACACCTACACATCTGAGTTGTACCCGGCGCAGAACTTGTCGCCAGATGGGATGTTCCTGCAGTCCGCTCAGGGCATCCCCAAGTTGTGGTTCTCTCCCACTGCCTGGGCAGGGAAAGTGGTACCACACATGCAAAACTATGGCACCCACCACATCAATACGATCAGCGCAGGTGGAGAGTTCCGCTACACAGCGGTGGTCGAGGCGGCGTATTTATCAGCACACGGAAGTGCGGAGATGGATGCAGAGGCGGATGCCGATTTCCTCTTCTTCTTCTCGGCGGACGCGGAGGCCCATGCCTCTGCAAGCGCGAGCGAGGCCTTCCGGCAGTCGCTGTCTGTGAGGGAGGTGGTGTGCAATGGGGGCAACGGTCAGTGCAACGCCAACTCTACCGCTGCGTACAATGCCTGGGTTGACTCGGTGCACAAGTACCCCTGGGTTCTGAGCGCTCGCTACACCCCAAACTATGCCCTGCTGCCCGCGGACAATGCTCTTGTGTTGAGCATGGCGACCGTGGCGTACTTGGCATGGCAAGGCATCCTGAAGCTGATGGAAGAGTTGACCGCGATCCGGGCTGCCCTCAAGCTGTACACAAGCTTGGCCGACCCACTGTGCAGCTATGAGAAGATGGGCGTCTGCGTCAATGGATCATCGGTTTGCTCGCATCCGGGGAGCACGGGCGACCCAGTCACACTCATTCCAGTGGTCCGGGCAAACGCGCAGAAGCTCTACGACCAGACAAATCCGCTCAACCTTCAGTTTGAAACGACCCTTGCGCTGCAGAACTCATCCTTGCAGGTGGATAGTTGGCTGCCAAACGCAACAGGATGGGTCCAAGCGGTCAAGGAGCTGGGAGCCGTCGTTTTTTCCATGCCCACGCTCCTAGAGTGCACCAGTTACGCGGACATGTCAACTCTGGCCTTGTGCCAGATTTTTGGCTGCAAGTCACATGTTTGTCAGACGGCAGCCGGAGTCAAGTGCGGCAATTGCGAGGCCAAGGAGGCTGCCACTTGTGCCTGGAAGTCGGTACCTATACCGCACAAGCTTCTATCCCCTCTGCCGACCCACCAAATCTATGTGTGAGGTGCCCCAGTGCAGGCATTTGGTGTGGGTCTGCAGCGCAGACGGGACCTGGTATCTCTTGCTGCTTGGGCAAGGTTTCTAGGCTCCCTTGTTTGCAGCCAGTTAATCTCGAGCAGCTTTAGCAAGGCGCTGAGAATGAGTTTGGAATGCAGGGCCAAGAGTGTTGGGAGTGCCCAAGCAAAGCTTGGCATGGCAAGCCTTCAGCACAGCGTTGGTATTTGCAGCATGTCCAAAAGCTGACGGATCCTTTGCAGCCTGTTGAGCTTTCCTGATCGAAACGTTTGGAGTCTTTTTGAAAGGCTTCAACGCCTGCACCTTCATTTTTTTGAACTTGAGGCGCCTACGTACATGCACAAGGGCCTCACGCGCATCGAAGGCCATTTTTTCGGGTTCAGCGTCAAGGGGGGCTGTGATCATATGCTGAACTCTTTGAATCGCTGCCTGCTCTAAGATGGAAGTGACAATTGCTAGCTAGAAGAAGCGTCGGTTGATTGAAAGGCCTTCCAGCTTCCAGCTGTTCATTTGAGAATCTATGGCGGTCTTGAAGAATTACCAGGATGAGAGCAGATGGGATTGCCTTCCTCAGATGTGCGCCGCCATATTGAGAGCAAACTTGTCCCTGCACTTGTGCCTGTCCCGCTATTTGAAGAGTTTTTGCAGGCAGGTTCTCGGTTTGTACTTGCAGGGGACGACTACCACTCGCAAATCATCCGCAACCACAAAGACAAGTGCCCAGGTGATGTCGAATCAGGGCACTTGGCTAGATGTCTCATTCACCAGTAAAGATTTAGATACTTGCACCCCTGGCTTTTTAGCAGGAATGATTACATGATTGCATAACATACTGTATGATGCATCTCTCCCTCTCTCACCCGCTCTCTCTCTCTCTCTCTCTCTCTCTCTCTCTCTCTCTCTCTCATATATATATATATATAATGTGTTTGTCTACCATGTTCGCGCGATCTTGGTGCCCGCGCAGCTTTCAGGTACCGGCGCCCGGCCGAGGCGGAGGAGCAGTTTCAGGCAGGGACCAGTCAGTTTGGGGGTGTCTTGTTTTGAGGGGTCCCTTTTTGGACAGCTTTTACACCATTTGGGGTCCCGCAACAGGCGACCCACTCATTTGGGGATTCCGGTTGTTGTTTCTGCTGTGGTACTTCAATGGATGCAGAAGTGCACTCTCACAGCTTGCGCGCCTCTTTCGCCCGGCAGGAGCTGCTGAAGTCGCTGCCATACCTGGCCGGGCGGCCAAAGAAAGGGAGAGAGACAATATTAGAGTACTACTTGGGAACAAATCGAAATCAGGCTTTGTTTGCCGTTTTTGCGGGGAAGGGGCAGGAAGTGCAAGGATAATGATGCACATCGTGGAGCCCTGGTTTTGAGACAGCGAAGCGACATTTGTGCCCAAGTCGATTGCGACGACCTACAGCCTGCTGCGACTCAAAGGTTTCAGAATGATCTCGTTTTTTCTTTGGGACGCTGCGAGGACGGTGCACAAAGGCGCTTTCCATTGCCTACCAGCCTGGTGTCCCCCTCTGAACTGGTGGTGTCCTTTCCGGTTTCCGTTAAGATTCAGCACAGAGGGCCACTCATGTCGATACTTCAAGCTTGGGGCAATTTGTTTCTCTGAAGAACAGAGATGCCAGATGGCAGCTGTACCAATTGCAGCTGCCGTTGAAATTGCAGTGCGCGAGTCATGTGCCTGGATCTCGGGGTGTGACCCTAGAGCACACAAGAATGGTGAACCTGCTTTTTCTGATGTACCCATGGCAGTCACTGTAGGCAAGACGCAGCTAGCTGATGGTTTTTGACCTTGGCCAGATGTTGGCCAATCAGTGGCCTTTCTTCCATGGCACTCCCATTACGTATTTGTAGCTGCTTAGCTTTGATGCGTGTGCCGCCAGGACCGCAAGAAGGGCATGGATCACGTTTTCATTTTCTCGGACTGCCTGTTGGGCGGTGGGACTGCATGCTGAGCATGCTGCAGTGCGTGAAAGCTGACTGAAGACTAAGTCAGTAGACGTATCCGCAAAGGGCTTCCCTCCCAAATCATACCTCACACGTCAGCGTGCAGTCCTTGCAGGCATTTATTGCAAGAAATTCTGACGACTTCGAGGTTAAGTGCAGTGCCTCCTTGTGCAATTTCGAGGCACCAACATGCCACGGTTTTCAAAAGTCTACCAGTGCTTACGTCAGCTTATCAGACTCGGATGCCAATGTGGAAGGAACCCATTTAATAACAAATATGCTGATGAGCATCCACGTGTTTCAACTCTTACAACAAAGCAGGTATCCTTAGCCATCCGCTACATTTCTGCTTCCCATTCCGTTTGTATGCTAGTAATGAGCAGACGTCTCAGGCCATACCCAGGGCAAGTAGAGGTTTGCATGATCACCTGATTCTGTCTCTTTTTTGAGAGTCCCCGTTTTCGGGGTTTTAAGGGAAACAACAGGAACTCCACCATTTTGGAGGGATCGCCTAAAACGAGACACGCCCGCCTCTATACAGTCATGCCGGGAAGCGTGGAGTTTGGGATGAATGGGCTGCTTTAAAGCTGGGAAGAGGTCTTCAAGGCTTCGCTCATTGCCAAACAGCAATTTTTCAGCCACACATCTTTTTTCTTTTTTTTTGTGAGTGCGTTGGTTCAAAGGGAAAGGGAACACCCGAATCCATTTTGGCCAAAGGCTCTTTGAGATTTCCATTTTGCTGCCAAAGCCTGCCTTTAAGCCTTTTGCCAAAGCCTTTTCCAAGCGGCCAGGACCAGGGCTTCATCGTGAACTTCACACACACCTTCCCCTCCTGGCGAGCGTGGCTTCCAAACGGGCGAATCGGGGAAGCGGGCAAACGAACGGGCGCTCGGGCGCTTTAAAAATGACACCAGCGCTCAAAGCAGCACATGGAGCGGAAGGTTTCTGAACTCGTGAAACCAAACTCATGGGTTGCTGGCTCGCAGACGCACGTCGATGGTGCAAAGACTCCAAGGGCACCGTCCCGAGGACAACATCCCTCACTCCATCTTTCTCACCACAGAGGCGCCACGCTGGGAGGTTTTGGAGGGGAACAATGAAGCGCTCTTTTTTCTTTTGCGAAGACAAACTAAGATCAAACATAATAAAGCAATGACATAATTCATACATTAAATAATGTTATTTATTTGTTGACCATATAACACCGTTTTTTTTTTTTTTTTTTTTTTTTTTTTTTTTTTTTTTTTTTTTTTTTTTTTTTTTATAATAAATAAATACACTAAACAATATATTTTTACATTTTTGTTTTTAAACAAAACGGCAAAACATACATTTATTTATTTATTTTTTAATATATATATATATATAAACAATATATATATATATATATATTAGTATGTGAATGATTACTATGGCCAAGCTGCTCGTTCATTCGCAATAGTGTTCCAGGCAGACGTCGTCATGCCTTTGAGTCACTTTCAATTTCAATTGATTTCAATGATTCCCCAATGTTCATGTGCCCTTCGCAACAAGTCTTTCTGGTTGCACGCAGCACCATGTACAGCAAACCGCCTCGCAGGCGTTTACGCCTGGCTGCGGTCCAAGCTGCTTCTCTCCGTGGAAGGAACCGCACAGCTTCTCGTGGGGGGGGGACGTTTGGCAAGGGGGCTCAACATGGCATCGCGACCGAAATACGTTTTTTTTTCTTTGCTCTTTTTTTACTTGACTGGAGACCGACCACAAGCCTTTGTTTGCTGGCGGGGACGGAGGGGTATTGACCGGAATGTGTTTGGAAATGGTTGAGCTGGCCAGCATGTCCTGGATCTCCCGACATTTGCCAGGCCCATTAGGTAATTCTTGAATTTGGCCACAGTGTGGCTTACGCTGCACGACTGAGTCACTGTGTGCAGGATGCCATCATCCCAGGCAGGGACCGGCACGAACCAAGCTGGATGTGAGTACACACCAGACAGACTCCTGATTTGGCTTTGAGTTTTCGTGAGGAACACCTTCAACATGGTTGGTGGACATAGATCCCCATGTAAATGATGTCCACCATAGGTCCCCAGTGAAAACCACACCCATTTTGGCACGTGCTCTACCAACGCAGGTCACATCGACCTGGACAGGATCCAGCTAATTGCCAGCTACAACCAGCCCACCAGCAACCGAAGCACGGGATCCCAGAGCACAGTTGGAGTGGCAGTTCATCCTGTCGCTCGAATGGTATCTTTCTCCCTTTGTGTGGCAGGCTTTCTCTTCAACTTTCACGGCCGCTTGCCAGTGAACCATGACTACTACGAGCAGGGGAGCTTGGATGGGACTGTACTTGGATATACAGCACAGGTAGTGGAGCCGGGATGGGACAGTAGTGCATGGGAGGTATCCAATGGAAGGGACATCTTCGCTACTATAAATATGGGACATTTCCCAGTTAAGGGATCGTGCTGCCACAACACATGAAATCTCAATTTGGTGGCATGCAGCAAGTGATGCACAGCGGGAAGCGACGACTACTACGCCTAGAATTCAGAATAAACACAAAAGGCTCATTTCCTGGCAGTGGAGAGAGGGAGCGCGGGGAAGCAAGAGAACACGAGAACAAGGAAGCAAGAAGGCAAGGCAAGGCAAGAGGCAATGAAGCAAGACGCTCCATGAAGAAAACACGGTGGGCGGCGGAACTGGGGCATCACGCTAGGAAGGTCACGGTGCGGAAGGCGCTCTTGCAGTTCGATGAGCTTGCGGATGTCAGCGCCGGGTCGCCTGTGGAAACATCGACGGCCTTTGTGGCCATCACACTATGAGAGGATTCGATGGCCGTTTAATGGTACCATTTTCTCATCCTCCAACTATTGATCGCGACGGTAGAACTTGTTTTTGCGCTGAGGGGCAGCTGATGCGAACAGCACAAGGCCTGTACTCAAGCTTTGCTCCAGACTCTTAGTTCGGGCTCATTTTTTACCCTCGTATGCTGCAGCTCGCTTTTCACATTGCCATGATCTAAATGTAGGAACCGGTTAGTTTTCCGTGCTCTAGGCTGCAGAGCTCACCCATTGGATTAGGCTGCCGTGTTTTTTGTTTTTTTGGTTTGTTGCAGCCCTGCGGCTGTTTCCAGTGATTCTCCAGTGCCGGTTGCTGCTAAGCGAGTTGACTCCAGAATTGAACGTAGGGCATGTCAGACTGTGGCATGCTCGCTTTGTGAAGAGCCCCGCGAATGAAGATGCTAATGGGCGCCAACAAGAAAAGGATGCGAAACCGAGTCGGTGCCTACTTTTGACAGAGCAGCTTGTGCATCCCCAGCACTCAGGTAGGGGGCTTCATCGAGGAATACTTTGAGGTGATGGGTTCGCATCCCAGTGCACTCTGAGAAAGGAGGCTCGAAAAACAGCAACTACTTGTTTTGTTCAGAGCGTGGCAAGCACGGTGGGGACGAGGGAACCACCACTGCCCTTCAGACCATCTCTTGCCATACTTTGCCCAACGCCATGCTTTGTGTGTGTGTGTGTCAATCGTAGGATGCCGTTGAAAGTTTCGTGGGAAAATGCCGTTGAAAGCCTGCAAACTCAAAAAGCCGACTTTACGCAGAGGCAGCAGCCACTTCTGCCTGGTGCCAGAGGGAACCTCTTCTTGGACGTCCGCCTTCCATGGCGTTGTCGAGCATGTTTGCGTTTTGCAGGGTTTCCTCCATTTCTCCTTTTGGAACCTCCAAAAGTGGCAGTTTCCATGCAACTTTTGGACGTCAAATCCAGCGACCTCTGTTTTAGAACTCTTGCAGTTTGTATGTATTGCAACTTGCTTTGCAGGATGCTTGAACTTGCGACTTTTTTTTCCACAGAAACCACGATTGTCAGCAACACTCTCAACATGGAAACGAAAGCTGCGGGCAATTGAAGCAGCCTCGAAGGCGGCTCACATTGGTTCGATTGGACTCGCCTCCCGTCGCTACTGAAAGAGCCAAAAGCTGTCAGTGGACAGCTTTGAATCCAAGTTGTCTTGCCGCATCCTTTGCTTGCCAGGAACCATCTCTACGAAAGCTTCTTCGCTGGCTGCATCCCCCTGATCCTCTCAGACCGCTACGTGCTACCCTTCCAGGACAGAGGGAGCTCTCCATCGCGATTTATTCACATTGAGATTCAAAGCATGAGGCGACCCACGTGATTTCAACAAAGGTTTGAGCACCTGTTTGTTGAGTGACCCAGAATTTCAGCCAACTCTTCAACCCTCAAGCTTGTGTTCAATCCAAGTTGCCGGTTCTTCTCATGAGTTCCATGCAGCTCGTGTGGCGAGCTTTTGTTTGGTTCGCCCCGTTCGGGTGAGGACCTAATTGACTGGCCAAGCCTGAGTATCCGGTGGCCGCAGGCTGGGTTAAGTGGCAGCAACAAGCAGAGCGGAAAGGGCGGAGAGTATTTCATGAACCCCAAGCTTTGCATGCAGTCTGCCGTTTCGGGATGGAGCATGTCTGAAGGAGTAGTACGTTGAGAAAGTCAAAGCAAGAATCCTGTCCCAAGGAAAACTGCTCGCCGGTGCAAGCATGAGGTGCAAACGCCTTTGGCCCTCTAGAACGACCAAACAAGGGGTACCATCAACAAAAAGGCACGCCCATACCTTTACCTGGGCAGGAGGCTGTCGCTATTGAGATGTACCTGTACGTCAAGGATGCCTGGCAGCATTGCAGATTGCATGAGGTCTTCAGAAAGTCGAGCCCTTTGTCCTTGGCGAGCTGCGCTCGAACCGGCAACAGCGACCTGTGGGTAAGTTACGCACACATTCGACCGAGTATGGAATTGTGAGTTGTGGTTAAAAGAACAAACGGCACCTTTTTCAGGCAGTTAATTGGAGATGCATCTTGGATTTGCACCAAAGTACCCCTCAGAGCCCCCTCACCAAACTAAGGTTCCAGTGCGAAGACCAGGCAACGGCCTTATCCCAAAGCAAACAATCGTGAAGGAATTTCCAGACCCGGCTACAGTGTGTGTGTGTGTGTGTGTGAGTCCAAATATGGTTTCCCTTTATTTCCTTTTTGGTTTCCATTTTAATCCAAGCGCATAAGGTAACCCTCAAAGAATCACACCCCTCTATTCCGCTTCTCTTGCCGCAGCACTCCATCGCACTCCATTCCCCTCTATACTGGCGCCAGGATTTGGTCGTGAACCAACGACCCCTGGTGGAAGCCATGAAGCCGCTGGCCGCAATGGACGGGACGGACGGGAAAGATCTAGTAGCGGCTTAGTGGCTTGGGGTATGGCATCTGGCTTTGGGCACCGTTCTCCTCCATGTTTTTAATGTCGCTTTGCGCTCTTTCTTCTTTCTTGTATCTTTCTTCATCTTTCGCTCTAAACTCAAAGTGGCCCGGCCAGCTCTTGCAAGCAGCCCATGTTCTGGTCCGAAATTTCCAGCCCATGGTGGACTTGGGAGGGACACACACTTCCCCACCAGAGGTCTCCAATTTTCTTATGTCGAAGCTGGGGTAAGCTGTCCTGGGCTGGGGAAACGAGGCAAGGGCTTCACAGGGTCATCAACCACTTCTCGTTGAAGCCAGAGGATTCAGCCCGTGGAAATGGTGGACATGTCTCAGAATGGAGTTGGCTAATGTTGCTTCGCGAAGATTGCTTGAAGCTGCCCGCTGGTTTTGTTGTGCTCAGGCAACGGGTGGATGCGCACGCATGCTGGTTCAACTTCTACCAGCTGGATGGGCCTTGCTCGCCCGCGTCCCAAGCATCCGCAGCGTAGGGCACAGGGGATCGCATCAGGGAGGCCGGGAGGCCGCCAACTTTCCAGTTGTTCACGGTCTAAGACTGCGGCGAATCCCAGTCATCTAGAGAGGTATTTGAATGCGGCAAAACGTCAAGTTCGCCCCAAAATCCGAACACGAGTCCGACCAGTTTACCGGACACTCTTCAGCCCTTTCACAGGCCCTACAAAGGCATCCTCCACGACCTAGAGAAGCGCAGCCGTGGTATGCCCAGGCGAGCCTTTGGTCTTGTGCACTTGAGGGTTTCAGACATTTTCCTCTGGAATGGAGTGGAAAGGCGACTCTCTGGTGACCTGTCCGCCTCCCTTCATCCTATGGTAGCAACGAGAGAAGCCGTGCCTTCCAGAAACCTTAGCCAGGTATTTGCATCCGACTCACTGGGTGCCCTGAGCAAAACCCTGGCTGCTGCTGCCGATAGGCAGGGACCTTTGGACTGGGTGGAGGTTGCGTCATGAGCCATACAGAGTATTCGGCGAATCTTTTTGTTGGATGTTTGTCTTGCATATGGCGGGCCCCGGGAGTGCAGTTGTGGCCATTTCATGATGCTTCAGCCCTCGGCACATTCTCAAAGTCACCAAACATTTTGTGAGACGATGGATGATGCTGATGTATCCAGAGCACGGCAACACACACACACACGATACCATAGGGTTCAAAATGTTCTATCAGGCATGATGTCCCCACATTTGCTGTCCTATTCATTACGCCGCATGCGTACCCGGAACGGTTGGTTTTGTGAAACGCGGGCCAAAGGCTTCGTTCAGTGCTGGCATTGCTTTGCTTGATCATACTTGAACAGGAAGCACCAGCACAAATTAGCATGAGATCCCGGTTTGCTTCCACTGTTTGGCCAGAGGCCCATGGCCTCAAGGTGGAAAGCAAGGCGCGTTTCCGTCCGGTCTGGAAACCTGAACTGTACTCTGTCTTGCGTCATTGGCGGTACGGTTTGTGAAGTTCTATCTCGTGACAAATCGGCACTGCAAGGGATGAGTTTGAACTCAAAACTCGCGAGCGAAGGTTGCCCACCAGTTCCTGTGTCAGGCGCGCCCGCGGCCATGGAGGGTGCGGACCGCGCGGCGCACGCGGCAGAAGGTTCCATGGGCGGCGGAGCCGGGCGAGCGAATGAGAGCCGAGAGAGCGCGGGTGACAGACTGAAGGTCCGGGTCTTGGGGGAAGCAGAGTTCATGGTGTCAGTCATGGGCTTTTGATTCGCCAGATGTGGGCTCCTTGGCACCCTTCCTGTATCCCTCAAGACTTGGGGAGTTGCAGTGCCAGCGTGAGCGCACGGCTGTTCTTCTGCGGATGCAACGCATGCGGCTTCCGGAGGGCCAAAAGCTTGTGCGAGTTGGTACTTCATGATCCCTGTCAGAGGTCGAGTCAACATGCAAAAGCGCTGAAGGGGTTTCAATACCTTTCTGTCCTTGTAGCGTGAACCATGCACTACGGTGATCTTGAGACGGTGAGCACCGGAGTGAAATGGAGCTGCCTTTCCATTGGGAGCATTAGGACCCTGACGATAAGGAAACCGTTGTGTACGAGAGCCTGCAGATGATTAGGCTCAACTGCCAAGCTGAATCCCTGTGGGGGGCACTATCTTCAGCTGACATGAAAACTCCGGCTTGATAGCTGCATCAGGTGGGCATCAGAATGGTAATGTAAAGGTTGTTTATACATGCAGGCTGGATGGTCTACTTGTTGCGTGCAGGCTCCCTCTTTCTTTGCGAGGGCATATTTGCAGGTGTTAGGGTTATCGGAAACAAGGACACCAGCCTGGTCAAAAGCAACTCGTGCGAGGGCAAAGGGTCCGAATCTTGCTCCATGCTGCGGCGATGGGCCGTGCTCGTGGTGTGGAGATGCTTGGCGGCATGGTAGACTGTGGCAAAGCAGGGCTGACTGCAAGGCTGGCAGGCATGGTCAGGTTTGCAAAGCCCTGCCTCTTGCTTTGCTGTAGTAGTCATCCCTTTTGCAGGGCAGACATGTTCGATCATAAACGGGAGGGGGTGCGTACTGTACCAAGCCGTACACTTCGCGCCGTGGAAAGCGGCTCCTGAAGCGCTTGACAAGAGACTTGTGCCGCGGCCAACAAAGCTTCTGCCGTCCGAGGATCCAGCGCGGATCTCACGGAGCAAAGGGTTTGGGGCGGGGGTGAGGGCAGGGAGCTCAAAGGGTCGGCTGGGCAGATTTGGCGGATCGGACCACACTCAACTTATCGGAATGAAATCGTGAAGTGGGAGGCAGTACGACTTCAAGACTGCTCGCCTCGTAGATGAGGGTGATTAAGAGGGCCGCACTGATTACTGGTGTAGTGCCATGGCCATACCGAGAAGCCATGCAAGTCACATGTTTGTGAAGGTCACTGCGTGGAGATTGCAGAGAAGACAAACTAACGGGAAATTTCATGGCTTTGCGGCCCCGAAGGCTTCAATGCCTCCTTGAAGGTCCTGTTGGGGGCGTATCATGCGCTGAGATGCCTCTTGAAAGTTCAAGTTCCGGTCAGCCCTTTGATTTGTGTCAAAATTGGGAACACGCCTTGGGAACACGCCGTTTGAACGATTGATTTTCCCCCAAATCAACCTTCCAGGAGGAGCTGGACCTGGCAGAGACCTGCCAGCTGCTGCCTCGTTGAGATGAGAGAGACTGGGACCTTTTGAAGGACTTTGGGAGCCTCAAGACAGTCGTGGGGTTGTTGGTTTGCAGCGGTCGCCTTGGGTCGTCCCACGTTCGGCCAATGTTCAAACGGCCATTCCTGCATTCGTTCCTGCATTCCAGATCTTTCCACAGCGCGTCTCGGTAAGAATTTTGAATATTAATTTGGGGGTAGCATTTTTTGAGGGTACCCTTTTAGTTCCGATTTTCAATGGACACCACAAAGCAAAACCACCCTCAAACCTAAAACCAAAAGAGACCCATTTGGGGTCCCGATCGCTTCGGTCCCTTCGGTCCCTTCGGTCTCTTCGGTCGCTTCGGATTTCGTCCAGGTCCTGCCTGGCCAAGGGCGGGGGGTGGTGCACCACCGAGCAGCGCTGCGTGGAGGACGACGTGGCTTTCTGCGACGCCGCGGCTCGGTTCAGCGTGCGCGGGCAAGCGGGTGCTCGCGGGGCTTGGTGCGTCTTTCGTCGAGGGCGGACTTTTTTGGGTCGGTTGACAAGGGAAACCAAAAGGACACCAACCATTTGGGGGGTCCCATTCCTATTTTGAGACTCAATGATCGGCTGGCTGGCGGGTTTCTGTTTTGGTTTCCTTCATGCCGAGAAACTCCCAAGTCATTGCCACACTTGGCGGAGCCGAGGGTCACTCTATGCCTTTTTCCAGCGAACGGTGGCCTTGTGAGTCTGGCCAAGAAGTGTAGGCTATATTTTTTAGGTGGTTGGATCAGATGCCACGTGGCAATCGTTTTTCCAGGCTCGATTGGCCGCCAGGGTGGGTGGTAGATAGATGGTCATGCAATGACAGCACCAGCCAATACGCAGCCAAGGACAACTTGATTGGGCTGGCGGGCTTCACAGACGATTGTGGGACAGACGAAGAGGGCCAGAAACCGAAAGTTCGACCTTGGATCGACAAAGGAGCGCTAAACCGGTTGTTGGGGCTGCCCATTGTGGCTGAGCATGTTGGACTAAACCGTCGAGGCAGTCGCATATACACGTTTCTTGTTTGGATGCAGATTTGCTTTGAACACGCCACGGACCGATTGCTTCTTCCAAGGTGGTCGAGCATCCGACTCGCAAATTCGCACGTTGCCGAGCCATGGTTTGGCCTGCATGGCAGGTTTCACAGCAAGTCGCTTGTTGGAGCTCTCGTTGGTTTCGGGTCGTTTGTTCCTTGATCGCTGCACAAGGACACTGTTTTACCGCTTCCACGAATGCCAGATAATTCCTGCGTACATTTGTATAGAACCTGCGGGACAGGGAGGGCAAGTTTGTGATCGATCAGGTTGAGCCTTTTGGCAGCCGCGTCAGGAGTTCTGGTGTCCTACACCTTCGAGAACGGCTCCTGCTGCCTGGGCCTGGGCATCGTGAGCCGAGCCTACCATGTTCTGGAGGAGTACACGGTCCTGCTCAGAGACGGGTCCAAAGAAGAGGTGTAACTCGGATGCAAGCGTGGTTCGATGGCTGAAAATCTACTGTTGCTGGAGGGAAACCCGCCACACATATAGGTGAGGGCTTGTGATTGAAGACAACGGCGGGTACCTCTTCTGTGGTATTCAAGTACCGGTTGGTGATGCATCGTCTCATCTCAAGGCGGGGTTATTTGTCCGAGGAAGACCGAGCGCTGGAACAACCGGAAGCCGGCGAAGAAGAAGGACGAGAACTCAGAGCCACTCGGGCAGTCCTTCTTGGGGCCCTGGCTGGGTATCCCGCACAAAGGCATTTAGCTTTTGTTCCTTGCCTGGATTGAAGCTTGTGGAAAGGGAGTTTCATTGCAAAGAGCAACTGTTGTTCTTGACAGTCTAGGGTCAGTTTGGAGGAAGCCGGTGTCGACTTTCAAGAGCAGAATCAGCTGAACGCCGCTGCATATTGCATATTGCTGCTCACAATGGCCATGTGAAAGTCGTACATTGCTGAACAAGCTGCTTTGAAAAAGGATAGGCGCCCCGACCAACTTTGTGCCAATACTTCTGTGAATAGCCACGTCAACGCAAAAGCTGCGCGTTTCTTGCGGCAAGCCGGTGCTGAAAGCTGGAAGGATGTTGCTGCCAGACTTCCTTGGAGACACTTTCGCACTCCAACCGACACAGGATAAAAGACAGACTTACCGCTCCAATATTGTGCAGTTTGTATTCAGCCTCTGCTCGAGAGATCGGATTTGGTTTGCTGGTTTGGGCTGGCAAGAGCCGAATGATTGAACGCGATCCGCCTCAAACATGGTTGGTTTCGTCCTGTACCTTGAAGCACCGCCCAAAAGGAACTAGAATACGATTGTGGAATGTGAGTCCCGTGCCACCTGTTTTAGAAGACCTTTTCCTTACAGCTCTCTCGTGTGTAGCAGCAAGGTATCACAACATCGAGTTCAGGCAGTGGCCGGGGGCGGTTCTTCTCGGGGCCACACGTAGCCCATGCGGCCCATGCCGAAGTGAAGAAGGGAGGAAAGACAAGCTCGAGGGACAGCAGCAAACCTGTAGATTCCTAAGAAGCAATATGCAGCATTGTTGGCTGAGTGCTGATTTGGGTTGGACCCAATTGCCGGCAACACCTGCGCGCTCACCCAATCTTCCCATGTCCTTTTGGGGAGCAACGCGTTGCTCATCTGAAATCCAGGTGACAATGGTTGCAAGTCGATCCCAAGTTGGATCAGGTTCAGTCCAAGACAGGATTGGCGGGAGAGCTGTGTAAAGACCTTGAGCCGGAGCCAATGGCCATATTGATAACACTGGGTCACCCCAGCTGCCCGCCTCTCAGAATCCTTCCCGAAACGGCCGCTTTCTCCGCAGATACTTCAAGCCCCGGGAACTCACAGTGGTCTCTACGCTGCGCCCAGGGGACTTGGTACAGGTGGGCACTTGTGGTGGAAGCCGAGAGAGCTGGGTTGAGAGGGTCAAATGTTTCAGAGGCCAAGAGGCAGTCGAGCTGGGTTACTCCAACTTGCAGGTGAAACCCATCAAAACGCGGGGTGCCGCAAGCAAGCCTTGGCCTTTGTCTACAGGGGACGGGCACTCGCATCAAATAAGCAGTTTGCTTTTTTCGAAAACAGCATCGCTTTCCAGCTTGCGCAAGCTTCATCAATGGAGATGCATACCAGCTTGCGGAAGGCCTCTAATTAGTTCAGCATTTGCGCGAATGGAGGTTGAAGGTTTCCGAGCAGTCGCCGCTTCAAATCTGAATCAATGTTGTTTGCCGTTTCGAACGCGAGGCACACTTCGTGGTGAAGAAAAAGGGTGCCGAAGAGGAGCTCATCAAAAGCAGGCCGCCGGCCAGTGGCCAGAAGTGTGGGTGTGCAAACAGGCAGAGGTTGAGGATAGTGGCTGCAAGGAAAGTGGGTCTTTGTTTGTTCTTGAGGGGACCAAACAAATGGTGGTTTGCCCTTTTAGTTTCCCCGTTGCAACCGCAAAAATGGGGTATCCCGGTGCCCGCGTCGAGCGCCGCGATCGAACTCTAGAAGCAATCAGAATCGCAAAAGCAGCCTCAGTAGCAGCTACTATCAGTTGCAACAACAAGAGCATCCACTCGCGCGAACGAAGAAGAGCCTGAAAAACGCCAGAGGCCGACAGGAAAAGCCACCATCATAACTTATAATTCATTACAGTAGACAACTGCAGGGAGTCTCTACCACCCAAGAGAAAGGGAGAGAGAGAGAGAGAGAGAGAGAGAGAGACTTCGACACATCAATGACTTTTGTTCTACATCCCGAGATCTGACCGCCCAAGTGCTCGTGCAGTTCCAGCTGCCACTGCCTTGGGTGACTGAGGCGTGCCGAGCTCGCGGTGGTGCTGAACACCACTGTGCCTGCTACCCCAGGGCCGAACAAGGGGAACTCGAAGGACGTTTGGTGGCCAAGAATGATCCCCCATTGTAGCAGTCTATTTGTTCAGGATTGTTTTTTGGGATGTTTGGCTTTCCATGAGCTTGCTTTTTAGTCTGTTCAGCTAGCTGCAAGCTGCTTGCAGAGTTTGGATTCAGCCTGCCGTCCTCGGAAACATGCGGCACTGGACTAGAAACGCCAGGCAAGAGAGCGTACTCATCAAAGTGTTCCTTGCTTTGCTAGATCGCGACTGCGAGGCGTTGCTGCGTAGCCTCATACAATGTAATCAGGGCTTGTGACTTGCCATCAAGACAACGTATCCCCAGGACATTCGCCGAACCATGTGACCTACCTGCTTACTTGTCGGAGCCCTCTGGCCCACAAACACAACCACACGCACACACCGACCCACCCACAAACAAACAAACAAGCAAGCAAGCAAGCAAGCAAGCAAGCAAGCAAGCAAGCAAGCAAGCAACCAGGCAAGCAAGCAAGCAAGCAAGCAGGCAAGCAACCAAACAAACAAGCACGCTAACACAGCTAGTTACCCAGGTTCCTTGCTTGGCATGTTCTGTCTGCACGCTGAGGACGAGCGTTGCGGTAAACTTCACCTCAGACCACATAGTGAGCATCCTTCCTCGAGACTTCGTGGCCACTTGGTGATGAATCGATTCGCTGTGATCGATTTCGTTGTTTTATGAGAAAGAGCGGTAGCAGGGTTGTGACCTCACCGTCTATTTTGATCGCGGTACTAAACAGTCACAGACGTTCTCGAACTTGTCCACCCCGGCAAGAAAGTTATTCCCCGAAACATCACTTAAGCTGCACTCAAATCATAGAGCACGCGTCTATGCACGTGACAAGAACTCTTTCATATTGCATTCATGCAGTGGAAGCTCCAACTGGATGCGACATCGGCTTTGCTGTTTCAGATCCCAAAGCCATCGATGCATTTCCCATCCCGCATGACCCGCGTGTCTTTGCCGGGGAACGTCGCTCACCACTTCGCTTGGCCACTTCCAGGTGGACCTCACCAACGAGTCGGCCCCCCGCGCGAGGTGCCGGTGCGATCGGCTTGAAGGGGGCACCGGGCAAGGGTCGCGAGTGGCGGGTGGGGTCGGGCGATGCCGAAGTGCCGGGAAGGCGACAGTCCGTTAGCCAAAAGCCCGGCGCCAGGCACACAGAGCTTTGATCGGAGAGGAAAAGGGCGAGTGCTTTTCGCCATCTGAGCTGGAACAAGTCAGCCACGAACATTTCAAGCGGAGGAACCTGCTCAGTTTTGCAAGGATCTATGCTGTTTCGCATGTTTGGACATGTCATGCAAGCTTCATTCGCTTCAGTCCTCCTCCTCGTCCTCCTTGTCCTCCTCCTCCACCTCCTCCACCTCCACCGCCTCCTCCACTTCCTCCTCCACCTTCTCCACCTCCTCCCTCCTTGACAACTTGTTTATGTGCGGCCAGTTCTTGTTGGATGGGCAACTTCTACTTGGACTCATATGTTCATTGAAACCCATCGGTATCAGCAACCTGGCGCAACCTGGCGCTCATCAGGACGGACAGCTAAAGACAGGCCGTTTTCGCTGGTGAGGGTCTGATGTTCTGCAGCTTGGCTTCAAGAGCCACAAGGTGACCATGAGATTGCGAGGGAACGCACAAGCACAAGCAATATTCTTCATCCGGCAGACCTTCTTTGACGGAGCATGGCTCTTGGAATCATATCAGATTGCAGGCTGTTCTGGGCATCTCTGCAAACTGCACAGTGCTTCGGAGAACACCACAACCCTTGACATGCTGTAAGGGATCATCGCCCACAGAGCCATGGCGCCTTTGGGCGAGTTTGACTCTGCCTGGGCACCTAGTCCCGTGCTCGTAGGAAGCTGGTACTTCACGATGTCTTGCAGCCTTGTGGCAACAGGCCCAGGAATGACTGATCCTTTTGAGCACACGGACCAACATGTGCGATTCGCACGGGGCCCAATGAAATGGCACTTCCGCGCCTCACTGAGAATGGGGCCATCAGCAGCGCCTTGGGGCTCTTCGTGGTAAGGCGAGGGGGCGAGGGGGCGAGGGGGCGAGGTGGATGAGACGTTCTACTTGGGCTGGGGCGGCTGTGAGGCAGCAGTTGCCCACAGCTCACATCAAAAATGGCATGTAGGAATGCTCGAAGCATGTTTGAATGGTCGTCCCGGATCAAACAGTTTTCAATTGCATCACTCTCTGGTGATCCCGTAGAAAGCAAAGCTCCGCAGGCGGCGCGCCGAGGCCGGGGATGCGAAGCCAAGCTTCGCCAGCCTTTGCCAGGCAGGGCGGATCGGGTGGGTGGTGGTAGAGACCAACCAACCCGACTTGTTTTTTGGCGGGGGGGGAGAGACCAAGCTTTGGAGCCTCTAGTCTACAAGGCATGCGTGGAATCGGCATGTCTTCCTGAACAAAGTGCAAAACGACGGCCGTGCCGCTGTCACAGCACAAGTACTGCTGACGCGGCAGGAATGGGCTCAGCTTGCCCCCGAGCAGCGTGCTGCCTTCGAGCCACAAACTGCGCCGCTTGCAGGGAATCAGTGGAAGTCTTTTGATCTGGGGATGGGCGGTACCTCGCTTGTGACGTCAGTTTTTTCTCGCTTGTGACGGTGTTTTTTTCTCGCTTGTGACGGGACTTTCTCGCTTGTGACGGCACATAATTGGTCACGCAAAACATCGCACATTACAGCGTTTTGTGGATGGGGGGGAGGGTCATGGCGACCCTAGGTGTGGTTGTGGGGCAAAAGTGTCGGTTGTTAACTTTGTTGCAAGTGAGTGCCGTTTCTTGTGTGGTGGAAACACAATGATTGTTCGGTGTTCTAAAGCCAAAACCCTAAACCCAAAACCCAAAAACCTAAAGTGATGTAAGCCAAACCCCAAAGCCCAAACCCTAAGCCCAAACCGAGAACCCTAAGTGATGCGAGCCATAAACCCTAAGCCCAAATCCAGAACCCTAACACCTACAGTGATGCGAGCCAAGCCCAAAAAGCCTAAACCCTAAACCCAAAACCCAAAAACCTAAAGTGATGTAATCAGCGCAAAAAGCGCGCCAGGGAGGAACCGAGCCCGGGGCCGCCCGCTGCAGAGACGGATGCGCGACCACTAGGGCCCCCACGCACCCGCGCTTCACCCGCGGCCAAGAGGGCGCGTGGCAAAATTTGAACGATTTTGGCCCCGAACTTGGATTTGAACAACGAAACCGACTTGCAGGACACGCGCAGAACTTTGATGCGAGCCAAGCCTAAAAGCTTAAATCCTAAAGCCAAACCAACCCAAAACCCCTTCCCCAAGGAAGAAAGAGACCGTCTAGCGATTCGTCGCAAGTGAGTCAGGTGAGTGTGGCGGAATGATGGCAACATGCATGTCATCACTTCAAAAACCTCCCTCGCGTGGCGCGAATGTTTGTCGCAAGTGAGTCAGGTGGATGCGCAAACCTGCGCTCAAGCACACTTCTGGAAAGTGCGCGGTCGCAAGTGAGTCAGGGTTAAGCCGCGAGTGAGCCAAATTAAGTGAAGTCGCAAGTGAGTAACAGCTTGCGTCGCAAGTGAGTGCTTCCCCTCTGGGGATGGCACGCGAGCTGACCAATCATCAACAGGTCGATTCATCATTCTCTTCACCCATCCGTTGGTTCAGAAGCCACCTGCTTCTTGGTTCGGGGGCGCGGCCAACTATGGACAGAGGCTCCGAGCAGTTTTGTTGAGGGTGTGAACTGCGCAGATGCCAGACGACATGCTTGATATATCAGGGTCCTATATATCCCCTGTTTGGTGGCTGTAAACATCACCCTTTTAGCCTATGTAAGTTGAGTTTCCCTTGGTAGGGGTGATTTATGTTTGGAGGGGAAATATAGGGAACGCTGTGCATGAGTGAAGCGCCAGTTTTCGTGGCTTTGGTTTGTGGGTTTGGATGTGGCCCTGCTAGGAAGCACTCCACCCAAGCATTGATTCAAAAACAATGACGTTCATCACAACGATGCGGAAGAAGCCCTGAGTGTAAGGAGGACACTGATCGCCGACAGCAGAACATCACTCTTAACTTCACAGATGGCGCGTCCCTTTGGGCAGTTTCTGCGGGAATTTTACGTCTGGCTATGTATGCGCTTTATTGCACGAGCTGTACAAGATCAGACATGTGACAAGTGCCGTCCTTGGCAAAGCCCCCCCAAAGCAACACTTTCTCGTGAAGGGGCTGCAGAGGAGTCGTTCACGAAAATGGCTCAGAAGAACTGGCCATTGCATCCATCAACCTGCCAACATTTGCCGGTCTCGATGTGGCCAGCATATGGGATTGAGAGGTACGGCGAGCATTTCTTCCTTGGTCCCCTTCATTCAATGTGTTCAGTAAGGCCGTTGTGTGTGTCTTTTGTAACGGGGATCCCCAAAATGATGGTTGTCCGTCTGGTTGTGCATTAAAACACTACACAAGGAAAAAAATCAAGGGGAAGGGTGGGCTCTTTGCCCCCAGGAAGGCCGGGGCAGCCGACACCAAGCGCTTGCTGCTGCAGCAGCAGGAGGCGCAGAAGCTGCGGAGACCGGAGCCCAACGAGCTGAGAGAGCTCAAGTGCCTCGGTGGAAGTCCGGGAGTCCGGAGTCCGGGAGTCCTGTGGGCGGCGGGAGTGGCTGGCAGCTGGTTTCGGGGCGATTTGGATTTGCCTTTGCTTTTGGCTTTTGCGCTTGCTGTAACGTTTCTGACGTTGAGCACTGACAAAGGATCCAAGAAGCACTGCAGACATTCAAAAGGCAAAAGGCAAACAGGCGCTGATTTGCGATTCCCTGGGAGGTGGTTGCAGTTGTTAGAGCAGTCAACTTTGGGAGGCTGACGCCTACCAAGAAAGTTTACCCGACATACATCCACCAAAGACTGCCTTGACGACAAACAAGAATGACAAGAAAAAGAAGAAGAAGAAGAAGAGAAGAAGAAGAGAAGAAGAAGAAGAAGCTCGAGGTGCAAAGGCATGTCTTCCAAGAAGACGAGTGCACGAGTCGAGACCATGATGTTCAACACGGATCACTGCCCGGTGCGGATCAGGCGGTCAGCCCGGTCAGCTCAGGCCCAAGCGGAAGCGGGCAAAGCCGGAAGAGCTGCCAGCACCGAGTTTCCCGAGGCGGGGCTGGAGGCCAATCCTCCCAAAACAGGGTCCAGAAATCCAGAAAGGAGTTTCACTCTAGAAATCGTGGTTGTCTGGGTTCCATGTTAGTCTGTAGGGGAGTATTTCCATCGCGTGCATTTGTTGAAGCCGGACATGGGAGGTCGTTGGTCACTGAGCACTGGTGAAAAATACCCATCCTACAAGTGTGCCGCGTTGCCACCATCCTTTGGGACAGATGCAAAGTTGTTGCTGTCAAAGGTGTTTGTGCTTGCCTCCCTGAAAAAGAGAACATGCCTTGTTTCCAACCCAACATCAAGTATGCACAACCCAGCGTTTAAACCCAATCTCCACGTCAACCAGCATTTTTGTGTGCTTCTGGAGCCCCCAATGCAAATCCTTTTGTTTGTCCTTCCGATCCAGGCGCTCCACTGCCTTCCCACCGGGGAATTTCGACAAACACCTTGGCCCTGTTCCGCATTCGCACAGGGTCCAGTATGAAGGAGGCCTCGTACTCCTGCGGGTTTCATTCAAAACCACCAGATTTAGAATGTCACTTGAAAACGTCGGACCTTCCCTAGGGTTGGCGTCCATGTTCCCTTGGCAGATCTTCCCCAACTATCTTGACAAGCAATCATTGAAGAAGGGAAGGAGTACAGGAAATGGATATTTTTGTGAATATATATATATATATAATGTATATATATATATATATTATATATTATATACATATCCACATACACACCCAGGAAGGCTGACCGGGCGCCCAGCCCGGAGCGCCTGGCAGAGCTGCGGCAGCAGGCTCGGCCTTTGGGGCGGGTTTGAGGGGAAATCGAAGGGTCAAGGAATTGTTTCAAAGAGAAGACAAAACAAATCAACCATTTCTGGCATTCAGAGACAAACCTGTATGGACATTATAATATTATAATACATAGAGCCAAGGTTCCTCCCCCTCCCCCAAAACAAAACAAACCTGACAAAAAAAGGGATTCGAGTACTCGCTGAATTCCCATGTGGTACAGAGACACAATCAATACAGGTAGCGCAATGGGGCACCTTTTGGTAGACAGGTTGTTCATGGAGACGTACCCGCGCCAGGTTCGAGAAGTCCAGGACTGCCAGGGCGAGGACTTGGCCAGCGCTGGGGAGCCGAGAGAGCGGTGAGCTCGCTCTCGTGAAAGGTTTTGCTTCCATGTCGAGTCCTCGCACAAAAAAGGCCCACCGATTTTTCCCCAGAGAGCTTTAGCGAAAAGGGGTTCTTACTTCTGAAGGCCAGGTGGGGGCTGCGGGTGCTGGTCAGGGAGCTGGTCAGGGTGGTGCTTGTTCGGCGCTGCAGTCAGTGTTGTCTCCCAGGCTATTTGGGGTCTATGTTGGTGTTGATCTTTGGCCGGTTGAGGCGTCGGCGCGGCTGCTGTGCCCGCGGCTGACCTTCGATTGGGGGGAAGAGGAGGGCCTGATGGTGGAGCCGCCCCAGGCGACGGGACGTCGAGCTATGCCAGGCATGAAACAGGGGCCTGAAAAAGATCAAAGACGCACAACTTTCAGCCTTGGCGCAGTGAATTGGCTGGATGCGAGGTAACCCTTGCGTCGCACCATCGAGGAAAAATGCCTGTGCTGTGCGTCGCCACCAGCGCCAGGGCTGCGACCTCCGGCAACTCTTGCGGGAGGCGAGTGGGAGGGCTACGGGGAAGAGCCAGCATGCAAAGCAGGTGCCCCCTTGTTTATGGTTGGAGGTGCAAAATTGAGTCAAAAGCCAGCGAAGGACAGAGACATCCCAGATGTGTTGCAAGGCTACTTGCCGCCAAGATGCTGCCCATGGTCGTTTATGCTAGCCACACACCAGTTTCCAACGTTGCCACTCGATGAGTGCAATCTGGATGATGGCTTTTGACGGACTCTGCCCAGGAGCAGCAGCGGAGCATCTCCGTGCAGAAGGCACTTTTTTGAGGTGTAACAAGGCTGTGCTGTGAAGGTCAGAGAAAGCTTTGGGGCCCTTTAGTTTGTTCATGAAGTGTTTTGCGAGCCAATTCTTGAAGGGAACCTCGGCCAGGCGCAGAAACTGCTGAGAAGCTGAGCGGTTCCTCCATTTGCCTGCCTCTTTGTACAGCCCCCCCCCACGTTAGCTGCATGCCTTTCATACTGAAAGGCAGACGCACGCATTTGAAGCAACGCGCTGTGTTCATGATGCCAATTCTGGCAGCGAGCGCGTGCGAGCGGACACGCCCGTTCGCGGCACTAATTCGGTCTCAACCCCCGGAGGCTGGGCGTTGGGTTCAGAGAGAAAGGAGAACTGGGCGCTCGGCTTGGGCCCCACTTTTCCATTGCCAGCTGTCCACGTCCGCTAGGGCCGACATGTTGCCGACGTGTTGCCCAGTGCATGTCTTGATCCGTCTCAGCCCTTCTGGCTGAAGTGAGTCGCGGGGTCGCGAGGGGCGGCGAAGGTGCCGGGGGGCTGACCAGGTTCCATGTCAAAGGCGTCAGTGTGTTTTCCAGAGGCAAGACAGCTTGCTTCAGGCTGATCCAGCTGCATGCCTTCAGTGTGTGATAATCTACCATGGCTTGAATCAGGAAATGCAGCGCACACAGCCTTCTCAGCCTGTGGCATGTGGGATCAGGCGAAAGATGCTTCCACTCAGCAGCTGTTGCCATACATAAAACCAAAACCTTCCCCTGGTAGTCCACTGCGTCAGTTCTAAAGGATCAACCGAAGGAAAGCATTTCGATCTCAGGGTCATATTCCACTTTGATCACATAGGCTCCACATCCCCAGAGTCAAATGAAGCCAGGCCCGCCCACCGCGCACCGACCGAGCCGCATTCCGCCAGGGGATGTCGAAGATCTCCGCCGCGGCTTTGCTGCAGCTGGCGGATCAGTTCGACCGCAAGAAGAAGCCCCTTGGAGAGCGAAGGATGTCTACGCGTCTTGGGTTAGGTGCTGCTTTGGCTCCCTCCCAAAATCACCAAGAAAGGGGTTCGCTCAAAAGATACTGTACTCGTTTGGGAGGCTCGTTTTTGAAACCCGGTAGGTTTCAAGGGAAGCCAAACTGACCCCGTTTGTCAAACAAAGGAGTCCCCCTATTCCGACGCAACTATTTGCTGCTTTCCGGGAAACGACAAAGACAAAAACACATGTTCATTTGTTCTGGGTGAGTGAATGGATTGGTGGGTGAGATAGAGAGGTGAAGGAATGGCAAGCATAAAACCTCTTGGTCTTTCGGTGGATTAGGAAATCAACTTATTATGTTCTTGTGGGCAGTCGTATTTGCATTTGGGTTATTTGACTGAATATTAGTTCCAATGTGCTCCTTCTCTCATCACTATATGTTTCTCACATTATCATTTTGGCAATGAATAAGAAGCAGTTCAATTTATTATACGTGATGGACATAGAGTGACAAAGTGAGAGGAGAGAAGGTGACCAACGGATCACCCAATAAACGGCGAATTCATACCAGGATCCACTACCACCTCTTCAGTCCTGTCCATTCCTTTCAGGCAAAGGCGCTTGCCTACAAAAAGAGATGTTACTCCAGCTTAATGATCATGCTGGCGTGGTTTATGCGCATCATTTTGCGTAGAACCATTCCTGAAGCTTTCTCATCCATCCAAGCATTTGACTTGAAGCAAACGTCCATGGCAACACCAAGCTGGAAAGGTTCAGCTACGCGTCAATCTCAAATTGAGTCAAATGGCGCGAACAGCTGCGACCAGCCTGTGACGCAGAGTATCGCACAAAGGGCACATTGAAAGTATCGCGCCAAGCGAAAGTGACAGAACAGTTGCTTCGATACATCACAGGCGCTTTGACTCCCAAGGTCACAGCTCCAAGGAAGCTAACAACGAATCATGACACACAGTGCTCCTGACGCCTGCCCGGCGTACATACCCCCGACCCCAGCCGCCCCAGCCGCCCGTGGCACTGCAGAATCCCTCGCCGACGAGAGGACAAGGCTCTGGGCAGGACGGACAGTTTGACCAATGCTGAATGCTGCCCGTGAAGTCTGCCAGTAGTGGTAGTGCCAATGGGCAGGATCGATACAGTGCAGCCCAAACAGCTGCGATACACGTTTGCTGCGAAATGCTTTGAACCTTGGGCTGTCAACATTTGGCCACCCCCGACTGTGCGTGCAGGATCCCGAAGGGTCAGGAGTCGCCCTTTGGTGACTTTCCAGATGACTACGTCAGGCAGGGCCACGAGCTCGTTGTGTTAGATCCGGCATGGAGCGCAGGCCTATGCACACGAGCGCAGGCCACTGCCTCCGCCGCCCTTGTCGGCACGGCAGTCCATGGCGCACACAGCGCCCTTGCCCGCCGCGGGCTGAGCATTTCAATGGATGACTTGGATGGGGGAAGCGATACTATTCCATGGGAGACCGCCACGTTGGAGTCGCCTGGGGATGTTAACATAGCATGTGTTGATCAACTGGCAGCTGAAGAAAAATGCTGGGTCCCTAAAGTCAGTAGCCTCGCATGACTTGGACCCTTGTGCGCATTGCGGCAATGCGACTCAATCTCCCCATGACTCAGGACTTGTCCGCCGCAATGCAAGCAGTGGAAGCTCGCGCGAGGCACTGCTAGTATTCTCTGATGTGAAGCACACTGCCGCCAGTGCTGTGGTTTATCCAACTCCACAACAAGTGACCAGCATTGCTTCTTCAGGGTACACCTGGTTCTCCTTCTGAGACATGGGTGTGTGTTTGTTTCGAGGGTACCCTTGTAAGGGTCGGTTGAAAGGCGAACCAACATAAGCCAACCATGTGGGGGTCTTCCTATTATGAGAAAGACCTACACCGCTTTAAAGCGCAAGCAGGTCGATGAGGTCACCTGTCGCGCCGAAGTCTGCGCGAGGCATTTGGGGGGTGGCGCGGAGCTGCTTCCTTGTTGAGCTGAGTGGCAGATCAAAGGCATGCCCATGGCCGTGCACGTGTTTCTTTTACCCGAATCTAGTGGACATGCCGTTCATGATATCAAGATGTTTAGGAAGAGTAGGAAGAGTAGTGTCCTGCGCATCCTTGTGATTTGAGACCCCGAGCAATCGCGCTTTTCCCCAACAAGTTCCTTCAGCGCCTGGTGGCCTTTTGCAGCCAGAGAGGTCAAGAGTTGGTTTGGGCAGGCTAACATCCTGAGAGGGGCATGTTTCAGCTGGAGCGCTTGCCACGGGTTGGCAATTGGAAGTCGCCAGGTCCCAACAAGATGGCCGCTACGCTGCAAGCACTGCGCGACGAGGCTCGCAGATCTCTGGCCAATGGCAAGCCAAACCCGTGGGAAAATTAAAGCAAAAAAGTCGACAAAGGGGACTGGGTTGTACACTATGGGCAAAAGGGACATGGTGGGGGCAACCAAAGCCAATGGGAGGGCAGGGAAGCAAACAAGTGCTGACCTCACTTCGCAGGTGCAGAGGCAGGCGGAGTCACCGAGCCCCCGCTCACCCAAGCGCGCCCGCGAGCCTAAATGGTGATTGTCATGTTGGTTTCGTTTAAAACCGCAAAAAATGGTACTAGACACCAATATGGTTGGATTGAACTTATGCAGTTCTTTGGAAGTGCCGAAGGCCAAGCGCTGCGCGATTGCGTGTGAAGCAAGGCCAATGCTCGAGTTTGGCCGCGGCCGACCGGTTCAGTGTCGTTGTTCTTTGCAATGGGACCTTCAATGATGGTTTCCGTTCCCTTCTTATTTGTGTATACCCACAAAAAGGGGGCTCCCCATACGGGTGTGTCTTTTTTGAGGGTACCCCTGGTTTGGTGGTTTTTAAGAAGCACCAAGAGGAAAGCCACCATTTTGATCCCCTAAACAAAGATACGCACCCCATGTGCTGCAACTGCTCAGCTTCGGTGTGCATTTTGAGGCCACAAGCCCGCGCGACAAGGTGCCAGTGCCACAGGCTGGGCAGGGGGCAGGTTGTCAGGGGGCTTTCCGATGAGTATTGTTTTTATAGGGGACCCCACGGTGGTTTTGCTTTTGGTTTCCCTTGAACCCTCCTCCTCAAAGACACACCCAAACAAAGCCAGCAGCTCGCTTCGAGACTTTAGCTTGGATCTCAAGCTCGAATTCTGGATTTGGGTTGCAGAAAGCATTACCACACTTTGTTGCTATGTTTATTTGTTTGTTTGGTTGTTTGATGAATCGTTGGTAGGTTGGCAGCTTGGAAGGTTGAGTTGGTTGGCTGGTAGGTTGGTAGGTGGGTAGGTTGGTAGTTGGGTAGGTTGGTAAGTTTGGAGGGTGGCAGGTTGGTAGAGTGGTAGGTTGGTTTGTCGGTTGTTGTTTGAAGATGTGTTGGTCTGTTGTTTGTTTGTTTGTTTGCTTGCTTGCTTGCTTGTTTGCTTGTTTGTTTGTTTGGCTTTCTTTGTTGCTGTTGTTTCTGTGTTTGGCTTGCTTTTTTTGCTTGTTTGTTGCTTGGTTTGGTTTTCTTGGCTTGGCTTGGCTTGCTTTGCTTTTGTTTGTTTTGTTCGAGCCCTTGCAAACAGTACCCGCAATGGCAGGTTGGCAACAACATGTGCTAAGTATGCTAACTATCATTATATGTGCAGCCGCGCGGTTGAGTCAAAGTTACCAGTCGTTTGTGCTTCACTTGGGAGGGACACGAAACTCACTAAATTTCCCCACCAAAAGGCAGGGGACTCACTATTTTTTCCATGTCCTCTTGGGGAACAAGTGATTGTGGCTGCTCATATTCCGTTTGGGTTTAAGTGAGGGACTGGCCACACTTCCCCGAGCCGTTTGGAGGCGCTGACCCCGCCGAAGGCTGGCGCCTTCAGGCCGACGGAGAGAGAAGGGTTGAACGGTGGAGTGACTGGAAGGGTTCGCCTTGTTTCTGTTGGTTTTGAAGCGGAAGCCAACAGGAAAACCACAATTTGGGGTCCTCTAAAGAATGACAGACTCAGATATCCTCAGGACTGGTTGCAATTCTGGTTTTGAGTGCGAATAAATGCCCTACTCCAAGCACAAGCACATGGTCGAGTCGCCTTGCTTCGTACGCAATGTGGCCATGTTTTGCAGGCCACACTGCTCCTTGAATACTCATCCATATTTGATGAATAGAGGTGCAAGACATGTTTTCTCAAAGCAAAATAGTGTCTGCAAAATGCGTATGGTATTTCCTAGCAAGAACTTGTTCCCCAAACAGTTCACTACTGCGGTGCTTACTCTTCTAAAAAGGAACGGGCCGCATGCTGCCAGATCGCCGGGCCGCATGCTCGCCAGTGTACGGTCGCATTTACTTGTCTCCCAGTATGTGCCTTCATTTGTCTCCCAGTGCTGCCAGATCGCCGGACCGCATGCTCGC